GTGTGTGGAGAGTGCTGTGTGTGGAGAGTGCTGTGTGTGGAGTGCAGTACGTTGCTTCCTTCTTGCTAATGTGCTTGTTGAACTTCTCTCTTCCCCTCCACAGAGTGAAATGTTGCGGCTCACCGCCGAGGATACGGTTGGCTGTGTATATGAGTGAGTTCTGTCCTGATACGCAATGCTACAAAGTAGTAGTGATTATGCCTGGCTGTGGGGCTATACTATCTTGATGGTGCTTGACTTGAAGTAGTGTTGGCTAGTACAGTCAGCCCTCGCTTATCAGGTCCTCTTTTATCCGAATCCCTCGCCATCCGGAAGAAAATCATTGGTTAACGATTTACAGCACATGTCATGCATACATACAGTATGTGTGTTCGATTATCCGGCTCCCTCGCCTATCCGGATATTTTGTGGGAAACGGATGTGTGCGGTTAAGCGAGGTCTAACTGTGTGTGAATACCAACTTTCTTTTTGTTCCACTTGTTTTACTTTTATAGTGTGTGTGTGTGTGTGTGTGTGTGTGCGTGCGTGTGTGCGTGCGTGTGTGTGCGCGCGCGCGCGCGTGTGTGTGTGTGTGTGTGTGTGTGTGTGTGTGTGTGTGTGTGTGCTGCCCACAGAGAGTTCCTTAATTTGACGCAGCAGCTCATCTTCACCCTGTCCTGCAGCTTTGAGGTGCTGCCTCGCCATTGTAAACTCTGTGTGTGTGTGTGTGTGTGTGTGTGTGTGTGTGTGTGTGTGTGTGTGTGTGTGTGTGTGGAAAAATGAAAAATAGGGATTCACTGGCCAGAAAAAGTCACTTCAAACAGCTGTGTGGTGGATACCAGGCTAAAAATAGTGGCGGTCAATTCATCAGCCTTGCAGGCTGTTGAATGGTGTAATCCCAGCACAAGTTGCTATGTCTAACATAGCTGTTCGCTATCATCGCTTCCGCGATGGGCACGTCTGAGGTCTTGAGGTGTGTGTGCTGCATTGCAGGCATGCAAGCACGAAGCTTGGTATGCCAGCGACGTCACTGCTTCTCGTGGCACTGCACAATCGCTCCAAGCTTGAAGATCATGCTGCTACTCTTGTCTCAGCAGGTAACTGTGGCTATGTGCATCTGCTATCAGCATACTCTATTTAATACACGCGCATGCATGCACTCACACACACACGCACACACACGCACATACACACACATGCACGCGCACGCACGCGCGCGGACACACACCCATACACACACACACACACACACACACACACACACACACACACACACACACACACACACACACACACTGTCCAGTGTGCTTGATGAGGAGATTCTGATTTTACCTATGTTAAGCTTCTAGTTGATATTTGCATATAGTGTCAGCATAATCTTTAGTAGGCGTGGTGGCGACTGGGGAATGTGAATACGATCTCTTATGATGATTTAGTGTGCTTGCCAGTCCTCGCCCGGTCCTGACCTACTGCACTAGCTTATTGAGTCAGATGTACTGCATTGTACTGCTGTTTGAAATACTCCTATCCGGAGCCAATACGGGTACGAGTTCTTGCTTATGATAGGCTTGGCTGCAAAGGAGAAATCGACGCGTTTGCCTTGGTGGATGAATTTTTTGGGTGTGTGTGTGTGTGTGTATGTGCATGCGTGTGTGTGGTGTGTGTGTGTGTGTGTGTGTGTGTGTGTGTGTGTGTGTGTGTGCGTGTGTGCATATGTGTGCATGCGTGTGTGTGCGTGTGTGTATGCGTGCATTTGTGTATGTGTGCGTGCGTGTGCATGTGTGCATCAGGGCTCACACCACAGGGAGTTATCACGGTGAGCTCGGCCGGGGCTGGCCAAATGAAGCAAGGCGGTGGGAAAGGTAACAGGGGTTCATACACTGTCTGTGATACACAATGCTGATGTTGCACATGCACTGCTGTCCATTTACCCAGCACACAGGTACGATGTTCCAAGCCTGAGGACTTTCTTGTCCGCCGATTGCTTCCAAGTTCAAACACGAGGTCGCGCCTCGTCAGCTTTGACTGCGTTTCGCCAGCTCTGAGGCAGAAGTGGAGAGTTAGCTGGTACCAAACGTAGAACGCCAGCTTGACTGCGTCAGTCATTTGCACGACATCCTCGAAGTATCCTGCACAGCTTTTCGAGAGCGTTCCTTACATAGCGGTTCTTTGTGCGTAACAGAGAGATCTACGTACTAAGTATTGTGTAGTTCCGTCGATCCTGGAAAAGGCTTCATTGCTTAAGATGTTGACTTCCCCTAGAGAAGACAGATGACGCCGAATAGCCCTTGCTGTTGCTGCCAGGAGACTGTTGGCATCGACATAGAACGAGGCAAGTAGGGCCGAGAGTTCAGGAGTAGTGATTGAGGGGAAGTCCGAAGTCCAAGCCTTTCGGCCTTTGCAGCAATCAGTGGAGAGCCTCACCCCAATACTGGGTTGCTGATTGCGTGCTCTTTTGGCACAGTGTCAGAGATGATCTCTTACTGCTCCTCCTTCGTTGACGCTCCGGAAACTCTTTTCTTGGTTGGATCTTCAGACTGATCTTTAACCATAGTGAAATCAGTGTTACCACAACTGACAAACTGGAGGAAATGGCAGAAATCGTGTGCCCGAGTTGCTTATGCTACAGTTGCGCTCACTATCTATCAGCTGGGTCAGCTGATAGTCTCTGCTCGCACGCAAGAGCTTCTATTCTCTTGTTCACGTAACTCAGCAATTGTGGCTTAATCAAAGATTCTTGATCAAGAGGATCCGGGACCTGATCTATTGCATACTGAATCTCAGTGACAGTTGGAAGTTTCCAATTTCTGAAATGGAAATCTTCCTTTTCTTGGGAAGGAACATGGGGATGAGAGGCATAGACAACATAGACGTATGTGACATTGCAGCCAACGCACCGTTTTTGGCCACCAACACCCTTTCTAAATGCTACAAAGAATCAGGGGCAACATTATCTACTTCGTTTGAGGCTGAGGAAGTATTTAGATGGGACTGGCTGAAAACAGGGGGGAAAGGAAGCATCTACACCATCGCAGGAGCTTGCCTCTGGGAGAGGAACATCATCGCTAGTGTTGAGTATTTCACAACGGACGACGGGACAGTAGACATCTACCATGTCTACAGAGTCCCCACAGTTAGCGCCCCTCGGAGGCTCGTACAGAGGGTGGTTGGTGATTAAATCCTTCGAGTCAGCCAGTCGTCCGCAGCTCCTACAAATTGCAGACACGTCTCATCCAGAGAGCGCTGACAACACCGCCAGGATACATTTGCGGACCCGAGCATCCTTCGAGCTATGCTGCGGCGATTCCCACTCATCGTGGAAGGGATTCTTGCACATAAACTGGTATTGAGAACCTCCAGACTTTCTCTTCTTCCTCGACATCTTGCAAAATGACCATGATGACAAAATGTTGACAATGGTTTTCTTCTCGTCGCTTCTCTCTCTAAAAAAAGACGTGGCAGAGTTAAACATTTTCGGGCAAAACTTCCTTAAACCCTTTCAGGACAGGGTAAAACACTGTACAACCTCCGCCATTTTGGAGTTATCTCCACCAAGTTACCAAAAGAGGGACTGATATTTCAAGGCAAATCGAAATTATGCCATATCGCTTTCAATGAGGACAGAAGCCCTTCGAAGCGTTCTCATCTTCTGCACCCCCCCTTGGCTATAACCCTGGCTTAGCTCCTATAAGCGTAGGTGGCGCATAAAAGCGGGGGTTCCGCCTGTTCACCACCATGCGCCATGACATGACATGCAAAATCGCACAAGCGTGCTCAATCTTCGCCGAAGTCTTTTAAAATGCAGTGTAGAACGGTAATAGAAAAACCGGCTTGTATGTTCTCCGCAGTTGAATGGAGATTTATTTTGTATAAAGTCTGATACAAGTATAAATAATACTGCGGACTACTCATAGGTTTATCCATGGGATATATGAATTATCACACGAACCTCGGCTTCGCCTCGGTTTATATTCCATCATTTGAATTCATTTCCATATGCAGTCAACTTCGCTTATAACGACACTCGGCGGGGCATCAAAAAGGTGTCCTTATTCGCAAAGTGTCATTATACCCGAAGTCTCATTATATATATTACAGTGGGATGGGACTTTGCTCTGGGCATGGGGATTCTGTCGTTATATCCGCAGTCGTTATATCCGCAGCAGTCGGTATTAGCCAAGTTGACTGTATAAACCTAAGCTTACAAAATAAATAATAATAATAATAATCTTCACTAGTTTGAGGGAAAGAGACATAATAATAATATTAATAGTTTGTATTACATGTACTTCGAAGCTTATAGCAGTTACATGAAATTAGTTCCCGAGTTCTTTACCCGTTTTGTATTGTGTTTATTTTACCCATGAAGACATGAAGAGGCTTCCATTTTCTATTGTTGTGTCTAGATGAGATGGTGATGCTTCAGTGGTTGTTTCTTTCTTTGTGCACGCATATGTGTGTATGTGTGTACGTGTGTGTGTGTACGTGTGTGTGTGTACGTGTGTGTGTGTGTACGTGTGTGTGTATACGTGTGTGTGTGTGCGTGTGTGTGTGCACGTGTGTGTGTGCGCGTGTGTGTGTGTACATGTGTGTGTGTGTACGTGTGTGTGTACGTGCATGTGTGTGTGTGTGCGTGTGTGTGTGTGTGCGCGTGTGTGTGTGTACATGTGTGTACATGTGTGTGTGTGTACATGTGTGTGTGTGTGTGTGTGTGTGTGTGTGTGTGTGTGTGTGTGTGTGTGTGTGTGTGTGTGTGTGTGTGTGTGTGTGTGTGTGTGTGCATGTGTGCGTGTGTGCATGATATGTGTGTACGTGTGTGTGTGTGTGTGTGTGTGTGTATCTGTTCAGTGGTGAGCCTTCATGCCGTCACATCCCTGGCTGAGTGGGGCACACTAGTAGGACAGCATGTACTGTACATTGTACTATTCCACAGGCGGGGGTAAGACGTGTACCTTCCTGTTTCCGTGGGATACCAACCACCCAGCTGAACGTCTGATTCGGCTGCTTGAAACGGCGGGGGAGGATAGATCGGATTAACAACCAGAGGCCAAAGGCCGAAATCCCATTTGCCTCAGTGAGGAGAACTCCACATGGGGTTTAGTTGGGTGTGCCTGCATGGTAAGATGTGTGTGTGTGGGTGTGCCTGCATGGTAAGATGTGTGTGTGTGGGTGTGCCTGCATGGTAAGATGTGGGTGTGCCTGCATGGTAAGATGTGGGTGTGCCTGCATGGTAAGATGTGTGTGTGTGGGTGTGCCTGCATGGTAAGATGTGTGTGTGTGGGTGTGCCTGCATGGTAAGATGTGTGTGTGTGGGTGTGCCTGCATGGTAAGATGTGTGGGTGTGCCTGCATGGTAGGATGTGTGTGTGTGGGTGTGCCTGCATGGTAAGATGTGTGTGTGTGGGTGTGCCTGCATGGTAAGATGTGTGGGTGTGCCTGCATGGTAAGATGTGTGTGTGTGGGTGTGCCTGCATGGTAAGATGTGTGTGTGTGGGTGTGCCTGCATGGTAAGATGTGTGTGTGCCAAGTATACCATGCCGCTACCGGACCTCACCGTACCGTGGTATTTTAACATCAAGGGAAACGGCACTTGCGAGTGGAATGCAACACTATGTTGGATTCACTGCTGGTCTACCCGTTCCACTCACCCATAGTGCAGTGCAGATTTATTCACGCGCTCGCACATTGAATGGCTGGTCTCTGTCACGTTGGGGTCGGCAGGTCAAGGTCGCGATGTCAAGTAACGTTGCATAGATCATGAACCACGCCGAAGCTGCTAGTCCCGGGCCTAAATGTACATGTATATCGTTTCTGGTACTTTTGTCTCCTGCTCTCTCACTACCGGTACATGCTGCGACTCCCTGGGCCTCCTGTAACCGCACACGCTTGCTTTCCATGAGATTATTCGGAAAGGCGGGGAACTCCCTGATATCCGAAAGCGTTTGACGTTGTACTTCATTGCGTTCAGTGTAAATTGCTCCGTACAATTTTCCACTGGTCGGCGTGGAAACGGGATTCAAGATGACCGGATAAGCAGAGTCCGAGAATATAACCAGTGACATACTTTATTTTACTTCACCAGAATTACAGGCAGTAGAATGCCTTCTCACTAGACCAGGTCTAGTTCTCACAAATGATGAAGAGTTGCGCTCGCTGGAATCCGGCCCAAGGTGCAAAACTAGCGCCCTGGACCAGTTACGATTGCATCGCTTTACTTGTACATCTACACGTCCAGCCGCATTCAAACCAATTCCAGGGTGCCAAGGGCCGTGCGAGTTCAGGGCGCAGAATATGCACTTTGGGTCTGATTTCACCGAGCGCAACTGTACTTTTACTGGCAATGCCTCTGAACTAGGCCAGGTGATGACGATGCAGTGCACGGAGTACCTGTACGTGTGTCGTGTTGTACCCTGTTCAGTGTTGCATACCACAATCAAGGTCAGTGTCTGGTTCTGCAGTTACTTCTGCTGTATGCGCAGTCCGAGTAGCCGTGTCAACAGAATTGCTGTTGAAAGAGATGCATTTGTTACAGTTTGAGTGGCTGATTTCGGTACATGTTTGGCTTGTTGCTTATCATTGTTGTGTGTGTGTGTGTACGTGTGTGTGTGTGTTTGTGTGTGCGTGTATGCTTGCGTGTATGTCTATGTGTGTGTATGTGTGCCTGTGTGTGTCTGTGTATGTATGTATGTATGTATGTGTTTGTGTGTATGTGTGTATGTGTGTGCATGCACATGCATGGCTACTTGTCCAGTGATGCTTACTCAGAGCGTGCACTGCAAGACGTGCAGGAGGTGTGTGCGGAGATGATGCAAGAAGGCTCTCTGTTCAGCCAGGCCACCCATCCCACGCCGAAATTCCTCTCCGTCGACTTTGATGATCTCCGCGTAAGTGACTGAATTGTCCTGCCCAGATTCAACACACTGCAGGGGACTTGTCAAAGGAGGGGGAAGAATCGTAGGGGAGGGGAGGGTTGAGGGGAATGGCGGGGAGGGTGGGCGAGGGGATGTGTGTGTGTGTGTGGGGGGGGGGGGGCATTGAATAAGGCAAACACCTGTCCAAGAGGACCACTAAAGCCAAGCCAGAGGAGTATCTTTCCAGGCTGGCTTACTGTTGATGAGGTGAGGTACGTTTGCATATACGCATAGTCTTTGCGAGGAGCATGTTTTTCAGGTGGTTTAAAGCAGTGGCAAGCTATAACAGGTTTACTGTACAAATGATCTATGATCGTCAGGGGTGTTGGTCACGGTACTGTCAGTGCGCTATTGACCGTACCACTATTTGCTCCAAGTACCCCGTAAATCAATAAAATGCACTGATTTGGGCTCTAAATTTCCGAAATGCTCGGCTAGGCCACCCCTCCCCCACGTGTAAATTGTAGTTGAGATGGCTGACTGACCGTACCACACTAAATTACCTTCCGACGCACCATCCGTCTGGGTTTTTTTGTCATTGCGGGGGGGGGGGGGGGGTACATGCACGGCTACACTATGTCGCATTGGCTAAAGCTGTCGGTTTGGGTACACTGGAAGCATGTGAAGCATGTACTGACGGCTTGTGTTCAGCAAAGCACTTTGCAGCTGAGTTGTGTATGTGTGTGTGTGTGTATGTGTGTATGTGTGTATGTATGTGTGTGTGTTTACTGTGTATGTGTGTATGTGTGTGTATGTGTCCTGTACAGGTAATAGCCCAGAAATACAATGTAGTACAGGTGCCGGTCATACTGCCTATCGTAGTGCGTGTAAGTTGCACTATTACTCAACTATTACTAAATTACAGCAAACCAGTTCAGTACAAACTAACATTACAGTATTAGTGCTGGAATTAGAGCCGGTCTTTTTATTACTGCCTGTCTGAAGTAAGCAACTAGTCATTTCAGGGCTTCTGTGTGGATTTTTTTCAAATTGGGTGAATTTTTAGCTCGCAAACTGCGAAGCGCCTCGGCCAGTATTGCCGAAAACGCCATACTACAGTTGCGCTCGGTGAAATCCGGCCCAAAGTGCATAACTGACGTCCAGTACTGATGCGGCCCTTGACGCCCTCAAAGTTGTACAAGTGCTAGTGTGCACGTGTACCGTATGAACTGTACCAAAGTGTAAAAAACCGCGCCAAACAAAGACAAGTGTAACATTCATTTCAGTTCAGCACAAGTAAAGAAGACGGAGATCGTTTCGAAGCAGTTTATTTCATACACAGAGCAGCAGGGCTTCAATATTTTGTGTGGCCACCGTCTGCCTCGATTAGCGCTTCAACACGACGTGGCATTGACTCCACGTATGGCGGGGAAACCGTGTCAGGAGCCTACGAGTCTCACTCCAGGTGTAGTGCCTGCACCAGCTGGTCAGCATTCTCGCAGCGATGTGGAATTATTCTCTTCTTGAGAGGAGCCCACACATTGGGAATGGCCATGTCCTTCTTCTCTATCTCTTCTTGATCTTGAGCTGTACTTCGTGAGGTGAATGAAAGACATTTCGAAATGTTTTTATTTTTTTTACACGTGCACTCCGAACTTTTACACGAGGTGCGTACAGTTGAGTTCGTACACACAAATCGCTAGTGATGCAATGGGAGCTGGCTTCGCGGCGCCAGCTTTGCACTTCAGGCCGGATTTCACCGAGCGCAACTGTAGTACCTGGCTTGGGTATTGCATACTTGTTTGTATTCTCTTGCAGAGGAGAATGTAGTGTACTTTCTCGAGGACCCTGTGTTTCTTTTCCAGTTATTTGACCTTGGAAATGGAGGGAGAGAGAGAGAGAGAGAGAGAGAGAGAGAGAGAGAGAGAGAGAGAGAGAGAGAGAGAGAGAGAGTGAGTGAGTGAGAGAGAGAGAGTGAGAGAGAGAGAGAGAGAGAGTTATGAGAACATCGGCTATACATGTAATGTGTTGATTGTCAATTTGTTATGCTCATTTGAGGTACGCTACACATTGTACTTAAGTTCAAATGTATAATTTATGGTTGACTTAGCTTCCCCTCCGATTGATCTTCCAATCTTTAGAGCCACACAAGTTGTGTGGTATGTTGCTATGCGTACTTGAATTGTGCTTTGACCGTATTGTCCTATGGTCTTGCCAGTATCGTCTTCGACATACATGTACATCCACCAACGTCCTTCAGAGCTGAGACTTTCAGCTCGTGCTTATCTTGGTTGCGCGCACCTTCCCGCCCTATATTACTGCTACAACGTTGAACCTTCCAAGTTGGAAGGCTGTTGGAGTGCGCATCCAAGACGTGCCAGAGTTTATTGGCAGTTAGTTGTAGAACGCCAGTACCGTTGGTCAGTGTCGTGCAATGTTATCGCATGAGCTGATTGTCAAGTAAGTTTTGAAGTAACTGCTGGTCTTAGTGTGGTAGTGGACACTATAGCCTAACTTGTACTTGTAGTTCCTTGGTCCTTTTTCTTCCTTTAAAGTTCCTCTTTTAATTTTTATTTCTCTCTGTCTCTCTCTGTCTATGCGGTGTGTGTGTGTCTCTCCTCTGCTCTCTCTCTCTCTCTCTCTCTCTCTCTCTCTCTCTCTCTCTCTCTCTCTCTCTCTCTTCCTCCTCTTCCTCCTCCTTCGCAGAGAGTAAGGCGTAGAGGTATTTCTGGCGGACCTGATGTTAATATGAAGGAAAAGCTCTTGACGCAGATGCGAGATTGGACGGCTGGTCTCCGTCATCAGCAGCATGCTCCACAACACCATGATGATGATGATGAGGAGGATGATGATGACGACACTGACAGCGACAATGGTGAAGATAATGAGGCGGTCATGGATGTGGAGGACGAGGAGGGCGACAGCAGCAGCAGTGGTGCTGAGGACTCTGAGAATGACGATGATGACAACGATGAGGACATGTAAGACCAGTTCTTCCCTCACTCATGCATTGCAATTATCACACCACCATCATGCCCACACTCAACTCATAGTCAACAGTAATCATCATCTTCTTTCTTTTAAAATGGGAAAAGAACATAACATTTACATGAGCACCATGCTAAATCATCTGATCTGACCCTGCTGTGATTACCAATCTACATCACTTGCATCTGCATGCTTTCTTTTGATGTTAAAAAAACTCTCTAAAAAGGAAAGGAATAGAATAGGTGGGGTGAGAATATCACCGAAACGGTTCGGAGAAGAACTGTTTTCTGTTTATGCAATGCCGGTTCTGTCTGCTGTAGTTTTTCTTCCAAGTTTCTTTTCTATACTTACTGTGTCTATTGAGTGCTTTTCTCACTGGGTTGCTATCTCGTATTAGCTGCTAGCAGCACTTAGCCCGACGTACATATTTATCCTGAAGCAAAGATCAAGCGTGCGGACTATTATGCATTGAGGGAGGAGAGAGGCAAGCTCATAGCGTGTATGTCTGGGTATGCTTACAGCAGAGAGGGGGGAGTCTGGGAGGCAAGCTTGTGACTGATGGTTGTGAATGACTATAAATAACACACATCCGGTAGAAGTAAATGCCTTTACTCCAAAGTTCCATGTCACTCATCAGAAGTTCATAAAGCTGATACGCACGATATAAATATATTATGGCTTGGCAGCAATGCACCTCACTGATATGCTAGATGTGCAAATCTTGTAGGTAGAGAGCATTCGTTGGCTATGATGCGCTGATGCGATGTTGTTCATTGGCCGAGTTCATTACAACTGATTGCTTTGGCTGGATACTCTGTGTGCTCTCCTGGGCAGGCGGGACGAACACAGCCACTTGCTGCCCTGGCTGGATATTGAACATGCTTGTGAAAGGAACTACTGAAGTAACTGCTAGTACCAGTGCATGGAGGTCTTGTCTTTTCTTCTAGTTAGAACCTGTGTCTGAGAAGCAATTTGATGTAATACATGTATGTACTTCGAATGACTATTGTTCCACCGTGCCCAAGGTCACTCAGGCTGGTGTTCAGAATGACCACCTGTTGATGGATCCAAACATGGGTTTCTTGGAGTCGGTGGGTGGTGGAAGGTTGTAGTGCCTGCACGGATTTCTTGCGATTTATCTTTCGTTCCGCGATTTTGTAATTTTGTGCATTTCTCAAGCTTCTGCGCGGCAACATTTTATTTACAGGATGTAGCCTTTATCATGTTGTCATTGTCGGCTACGTAGAGTACCATGCTACGCATAACCCTCGGAACGTTGCGCAGATGTACCACTTCCTGCGATTATGGACCCTACCATATTTGTATACATGTGTATTGTTGTTGTTCCACCACGTATCCTTTACGAGGATCTAGCTCTTGCATTGAAAGTCGGCTCAGGCTTTCTTGTTCTTGCTTTTCCACTTCTGGACTTTTAGCAGTAGTTTGTGGTTTGTCTCTGCACGTAGAATTCTTCCCTCGTTGGACTGTCTCCTTGCCATTTCCTGTGTGCAATATACCGATTCTCGCTGACTCGATACTGGGAGTTAATTAGTTAAAAGAACATTGTCTGCTGTACGCGTGATTAGAGGCTTGTTTCCACAAGGTCGCCGAACCCTGGCTGCACAGCACAGCGTAGCCCCGGCAGTGGAGTTGCACTCCTTGCTGCTTTGCGAGGCCTGCCGTCCTCACTGCCGCTTGCTCCGTCAAGTGCGTCAGCCCCCTCCGCCGGTGCAGCGGGTAGCCAGAATGCCGTCAACTCAAACCCTATGATACTTGACATGGCTGTAGCTCCTGCTATGATGTATGCTAGTTGATAGTCACCTGTTGCATCTGTTATCCAGCCTGGATGAGGAGAGAGACGGAGGCAGCGACAGACAGACAGACGCAGAGAGAAAGACACACACACACACACACACACACACACACACACACACACACACACACACACACACACACACACACACTTGTACTTATTGCTCACTGCCAAAACTGGTCACGTGGGTCTCCCCGGGAGAGGGGGGAGAGATTCAAAAGGAATCTTGCCCGTAGGGGTGAAACGAGTGTCAAAATCGAGGACTAGAGTACTCGTTGAAAAAACGAGCGAGTACGAGTATTTTACTGACAACATAAACAATGCACTGCACACATTCTCACCACACCGGACGTAGTACACCCGATACATGAAGTCTTGCCAAGCACTTCTCACAACTTGTTACTAGAGAGGTTCCAGGGTACGATTTTCCGTGCCAAAATCCGTATGGGCGCTACGGATTTTTTCCAGGCGTGCTCCATACGATTTTTCGGCACGAGAATCCGTGTGGACTGGCTTTCATACGAACCATGTTTCGTATGGAGATTTTGCGTCATCGGGTGCAGAAAGATTTTTCGCGTACAAATTTGGTACGAGAAATATCGATTTTTCGCGGGAAGTTTTGATTTCGGTACAAATTTTCAAAATAAAAAGGCATAGCGCGGGAATGTGACGTGTTTGCGATCGTAACCTAGGCAATGACGGCAAACACATGAGTTCCGTACCCCGGAACTTTTCACTGCTCGAAAACGACGTACAAAAAATCCGTAGAGCCTCCACGGATTTTGGCACGAAAAATCGTACTCCGGAACCTCCCTATAATCAAAAGCACTGGACTTTCACAAGATTCAGATCTGGAGGTGCTAGGCCGCAGTAGGCGCACTTGCCTGGGCTGTAAGTACTGGCCAGAGCAACAGTAGGCGCACTTGCCTGGGCTGTAAGTACTGGTCAGAGCAACAGTAGTCACACTTGCCTGGGCTGTAAGTACTGGTCAGAGCAACAGTAGTCACACTTGCCTGGGCTGTAAGTACTGGTCAGAGCAACAGTAGTCACACTTGCCTGGGCTGTAAGTACTGGTCAGAATAACAGAAGTACTTGATGTACATGCATACAGTAGTGCCTAGTACGTTTCGAGTATTTTCGCGAAACGAGTACTCGCTCTTTTCAAATTTTCGAGCAAGTGCTCGAGTATTCAATATGTTTCACCCCTAAATCTTGGAAAGATGACTCGATTGGCTATTGTCGTATTGAACTACCCAACGACCGACACCCCCTGAAATCCCCAAAACTCTGGGTGGACTTCAAAATGATCCCACTTATGGGCTCGCCACACCTCAGTAAGTGGGTGAGGCCAAGGTGCAGAAAAAGGATTGACAGCATCAGAGTATCCGTCCCGGGATCCAACTGCAGTTACCCATGCCCCCAGGCCCAGTGAAGATAATACTTGGTACTAGTGTGGCTGGCTAAATCAGAGTGGATCTGATATAAGCTTCACTAGCACCATTGATTACACAAGAGTTAATCTAGCCAGAAGCAGTCCATGGTTTATAGCAGGTATGTATACTTCAAATAGAAAGTATATGAACCCTGAAACCAACAAAGGTGCCAGGTACAACATTACACCTTCAAGTAGCCGAGCCCGTTGGCAACAGACCCAACACAAGCAGGCATACGTGTACCCACCAACCGAACTAGCTGACACACACGCACACACACACACACACACACACACACACACACACACTGACGGAGAGAGAGAGAGAGAGAGAGAGAGAGAGAGAGAGAGAGAGAGAGAGAGAGAGAGAGAGAGAGAGAGAGAGATGGAGAGGGCCAAACAAATGGATTAAAACCAGGTCTGTGTGAGAACCATTCGCCAGGCTTTTCCGTCTTCGCGCGTCAGAGTACATCTACACATTTTTGCCTCGAAAGGCTCAACTTACATACAGCATGCAGGAACTTCACTGGGCACATTCTACTAGTATAACAAGCATGGTGACTGACAAAACCAGCGGGAATGGGATGGGAAAATGCAGCATGGTCGAACTGTGGGCAACATGTACATGTACTTTGAAGTACGCCGGGAGAGAAGTCCTCAACATTGTACTTCCAGGGAAGCTCTGCTATGGATCAGTCAGGGGCATCAGAAGGTATTTTAGGGTGATACGATCAGCCACCTGTGTAAAATTTACTCGGGGGGTTGAGGTGGCTCCAATTATAATTTTCAGAAGTTAGACCCCTGATCTGTGTTTTTTATTGATTCACAGGGTACTAGTACCCGGGACGGAGAGCGGTACGCGGTACGGTTAATACCGTAGTAACCGTAGAGTGTCCCTGAATCTATATTTCTTTGTAGAGGAGATATTCCTCAGCAAACTTCTAGTGCATGTTTGTTTTTGACTTACCAGCAATGGGAGGTCCGATTAGATCGGGTATGCCGCTAAATATACATGTACTGGCCCATGCACAGCTGAACCATTGCTCTGTTACGATATCCTGCGCAGTGACGGCCATTAGCATAATGCCACTGCGGCACAGACCTATGACCAGAGCGTAGACAACAAAGTGCCAGTACTCGCTGCCAAAGTGAACCAGGATGTTAGCCAGGCCGATGAAGAAGCCAAACGAGGCGAACAGGTGGAGGCGTCGGCGGCCAGTCTTGAGTACGTCCGACAGCCATCCGAACACGGGCAGGAACACCAGACCACTGCCAGCCGAGTAGCTGAGCAGGAGGGCTGCATCGCTGCTGCTGACGTTCTTGTCCTTTTCAACCATGTTGATCTGACCACACAGAGTACACACACGTGCATAGCGACGGGTTCACAGCACACAGATGCGCGTACATGAACATACGAATGAAAACACACACGCACACACACACACACACGCATACATAATGCGTTAAGAGCGGGAGATGCACATCAGAACTGATAGCCTTTGTAATTCTTCTTTGGAAGTACGTGTACATCTGTATGGTACTATCAAATCACTCACCAAGGTATGCTAAGATTGTATACGTGCATACAGAGAACATTGGTTTGTTTCAGAATGGATGCATGCCTAGATACCAGGGCAGGGTGGGTGCATGCCTCTCCGTCATTCTCCCTTTACACAGTGTACAACAGAGCTCAGATAGACTCACACCCCTCATCCCCCCCCCCCCCCCCCTACACCCCTCAGCCCCACACCCCTCATCCCCCCCCCCCCCCCTACACCCCTCAGCCCCACACCCCTCATCTCCACCCCCACACCCCTCAGCCCAAGACTAAGACTCACCAGATGTACAATAGGTGTGCTGTAGCAAGCAATCCACAGCGTACACGCCGCCAAGTAGACCAGGAACGGACCGTTGTACCAGAAGTGTCTGTTCAGCAGCACCCGGTCGACGAAGACGAGGAATGCACGCCATGGCGAGTACCGGTGTGTGCAGCTCTGCTCCTCGCTGCTCAGCTGCTCGTCGTCAGCAGGGACATCAGGCTGGCTGCTCTCACATTGATCCTGGCCACACTCCGGTGTTGCTTGAACCTCCTCACTTCTACTACGACTGCTTGCAATGCTTGCAATCGTCTTCTCGTGAGTAGCTGATGATCGTCGCCGTGCCGTCACAGCAGCTTCGGACATGCGCCGCTTCTCTCTCCGTTTGTCCTTGAGCTGAGCAGGTGTGTCCAATGGCGAGAAGGAGAGTGCACAGCCAACAGTACCGACCGCCTGCACGGCAGCCAGCCACCAGAGAGCACGGCGCCAACCCCACAGGTGGATGACGCGCTCGTAGCTCGGTGACAATCCCATCAGGCCGACGAGGCTGCCCGTGAGGATCAGGGAGAGGACGCGTGACCGTTGCGGCGGTGGAAAGTACCTGAACACATGCACATGCATGCGAATGCATACACACACACACACACACACACACACACACACACCACACACATACACACACACACACACACACATGCACGTACACCAAGATTTCATCATTCCTCCTAATTTCATATCTATGTCTTCCTTGCATCAGCCTGGGGACTTGTTAGCCGTATACACCTGCATGTACCATTAAGTACCGCGAGAGTGCCCGTCTCGCGAGAGCGACCGTCTCGCGAGAGCGGCCCACCTTGATTTTACAGCCAGGGGAAGGAAAATCGTATTGCAGAGTGCAACAAAGCTTGTACAGTGTGAGAACCTTAGTGTACTAAGGTCACGCTTAGCCTGTTTTTGTGTGGAGCTCAAAGGTAAACTGAGTACGGATTGACTGCACAGCATGTGATGTCACTGATGTGTGTACAATGTACGTGCCACATAACCTTCAGACAAGACACCACCTCCACAGCATGGCCGCAAAAGGACGAGTTGGTGGGACGCTCTCGCGGTACTATACGGTACACATACTGGCCTCTGAAGAATGTACTGCGGCACCAGAAGACACAGCAAAACAATACAATGCCAAATGGCCGGCTGCAGTGCGGCCATACCTGCTGGTGTAAATCACAACTGGCTGGTAGATGAAGGAGGAGCCGATTCCCAGACACAAGCCGTAGGTGAAGTAGAGCCAGTACAAACTGCCCGTCACGAGTGATGTGAACACAAGTGACGCTGGGCAGATCAACGAACCTAGCGCCAACACCACGGCTGGACCCCAGCGATCGCAGAGGACCGCTACCAGCCTCGAGGCAAACAGCATCACGCCAAACGCCAGAGATCCTATCCAAGCTGCACGCAGGAGAACACCAGGAGAAGAAGAAGAAGCGTTTTAGCTTGGCATGCAACTTATAACTTCATGTGCACTGACATGCATAGTGCTAGGGGTAATATAGTGCTAACTGTCACCTACTTACAGTGCCGCTTGCGTGAGTGTATCACAAGAACATCATGTACTGAGTTTAGCTGTGCAAGGTCTGAGCACCTCATTGGTATCGTTTGTGCAAGGTCTGAGCACCGCGTTGGTGTTAGAAGTGCAAGGTCGGAGCACTAAAATAACACTTATAGTGTACTCAGTGTGACGACTGTAGTACTGTCACAGTGTGCCGTGCACTATACTGCAGGCTCAGGGTCACCGCAGCTGTACTGTACTGATGGTGGTAACAACACACCTGAAGGAGTGATGTACCAGCCCACAATGTCACATACCACTAGCCATGTATCAACTTGGCTCCATGCGCGAATCGATGGTGGTGGTGGCGGTGGTGGTGGTGAGAAGGAGAGCTCTGTGGCAGATTATAATATAACTTTGCAGCTCAGATAGCGTATGCACTTTGCCAAGTGTGCTCTTACTACAATAGTCAGTGCTTTCGGAAACAACACAATCATTCTAGTGCATGCTAGTGCATGCTAGTGCTTGGAACTGTAGCGCCAAATACGTAGCAGAAACAGTGAAGGTCGCAGCCGGCATCATGTGATGCTGAGAGATGGCGAAGACCATGCCCTCCTGTCAATATGGAGAATTGGCAAACATCATCGGATTTGCGCTGACATGATGTCGACGGGTCGTTAGGTAGCCATAGTACAGACGACCGTTAGCTCAAGTACTTCAGTAGTATAATATACTAATTTCAGAAATTTTAGGTGCTCAATATTTTCGATATGAGGGCAAAAGACCAGGCTAGGTGAACAGAAATTTTAGGTACAGAGAAGCCATTTCGTATCGGACAGGGTGTGTGTTGTGTTCGTGTGGCTATTGAAATTTTAGGTATGAAAGAGATGCACTGAAAGAGATGCACTGAAAGAGATGCACTGAAAGAGATGCACTGAAAGAGATGCACTGAAAGAGATGCACTGAAAGAGATGCACTGAAAGAGATGCACTGAAAGAGATGCACTGAAAGTACCGAAAATAGAGGTACATGTACACCGACAATTTTGTGAAATTACAGTATTCCAGATCCTTAGAGCTAGCTGCGGTGCTCACACCGTACAGCCGACATAGCCAGGCTCTGAAATCCATGCAATGATCATGGGTCTAGTACTAGCGGAACAGTACTGGGTCTGCAGAGCATAGCAGCCCCGGCTTGCCGCTTGTACTATGTCCAGCCACGGAACTCCTACAGTAACTTCTCCCCTCCATTCCAGGAATCAACCACGCATGCACTATCGGGGTAAACACAAAGTAGCAAAACGTTACCATGGTTACACTGGACATACAGTAAAACCTGGTGTAAGCGATCTCTGGTTTTAGCGACCACCTGCTCTTAACGACCGTTGTTCCATGCACTGACAGTTCTCCACAGAAACTGCACCGGATACAGCGACCACCTGCCTTGCGCGACCAGCGACCGACTTTTAGTGTACCAAGTGCCATATTGGACCTGCACACAGCGACCAGAAACTAGCCAAAAGCTCCATCTCGGCTGGCAGGGTTGACTCAGTGCAACTGACTCACTTGAAGTGCACTCTGAAGCAAGTGCATGCAGTCAACAGAAGTGCCAAGTGACAGTGCAGGGTGCCCGTGGTGCATGCACTTGAGCGAGGTGTGCTTTGCCTGCACAAACATATTCTATGCTCCATACCTGTCAATATGAGTACACAAGGACCGCTTTTTCTTGCACCGTGGGCTTGTCGCTTAAACCAGGTTTTTACTGTATGCATACACCAATAGACCGTAAATAGTTGCATACCTGTTTCACCCTTGCTCGCCTTGCTAAATAGTTGCATACCTATTGCACCCTTGCTAGCCTTGCTTAATAGTTGCATACCTGTTGCACCCTTGCTAGCCTTGCTAAATAGTTGCATACCTGTTCACCCTTGCTAGCCTTGCTAAATAGTTGCATACCTGTTGCACCCTTGCTAGCCTTGCTAAATAGTTGCATACCTGTTGCACCCTTGCTAGCCTTGCTAAATAGTTGCATACCTGTTGCACCCTTGCTCGCCTTGCTAAATAGTTGCATACCTGTTGCACCCTTGCTAGCCTTGCTAAATAGTTGCATACCTGTTGCACCCTTGCTAGCCTTGCTAAATAGTTGCATACCTGTTGCACCCTTGCTAGCCTTGCTTAATAGTTGCATACCTGTTGCACCCTTGCTAGCCTTGCTAAATAGTTGCATACCTGTTCACCCTTGCTAGCCTTGCTAAATAGTTGCATACCTGTTGCACCCTTGCTCGCCTTGCTAAATAGTTGCATACCTATTGCACCCTTGCTAGCCTTGCTAAATAGTTGCATACCTGTTGCACCCTTGCTAGCCTTGCTAAATAGTTGCATACCTGTTGCACCCTTGCTAGCCTTGCTAAATAGTTGCATACCTGTTGCACCCTTGCTAGCCTTGCTAAATAGTTGCATACCTGTTTCACCCTTGCTAGCCTTGCTAAATAGTTGCATACCTGTTGCACCCTTGCTAGCCTTGCTAAATAGTTGCATACCTGTTGCACCCTTGCTAGCCTTGCTAAATAGTTGCATACCTGTTGCACCCTTGCTAGCCTTGCTAAATAGTTGCATACCTGTTGCACCCTTGCTAGCCTTGCTAAATAGTTGCATACCTGTTGCACCCTTGCTAGCCTTGCTAAATAGTTGCATACCTGTTTCACCCTTGCTAGCCTTGCTAAATAGTTGCATACCTGTTGCACCCTTGCTAGCCTTGCTAAATAGTTGCATACCTGTTGCACCCTTGCTAGCCTTGCTAAATAGTTGCATACCTGTTGCACCCTTGCTAGCCTTGCTAAATAGTTGCATACCTGTTTCACCCTTGCTAGCCTTGCTAAATAGTATAGTTGCATACCTGTTGCTCCCTTGCTAGCCTTGCTAAATAGTTGCATACCTGTTGCACCCTTGCTCGCCTTGCTAAATAGTTGCATACCTGTTGCACCCTTGCTAGCCTTGCTAAATAGTTGCATACCTGTTGCACCCTTGCTCGCCTTGCTAAATAGTTGCCATGATACCTGTTGCACCCTTGCTCGCCTTGCTAAATAGTTGCATACCTGTTGCACCCTTGCTAGCCTTGCTAAATAGTTGCATACCTGTTTCACCCTTGCTAGCCTTGCTAAATAGTTGCATACCTGTTGCACCCTTGCTAGCCTTGTTAAATAGTTGCATACCTGTTGCACCCTTGCTCGCCTTGCTAAATAGTTGCATACCTGTTGCACCCTTGCTCGCCTTGCTAAATAGTTGCATACCTGTTGCACCCTTGCTAGCCTTGCTAAATAGTTGCATACCTGTTGCACCCTTGCTAAATAGTTGCATACCTGTTGCACCCTTGCTCGCCTTGAACTCCGCCAGCAACTCCACATAGAGTATACCGAACATGAACATGTTGGAGTAGATGGCAAAGTTGCTCAGCCACGCGCAGATCAGTACGGCCGCACGCCGTTGCTTGGAGATGTGCCACGGCTGGACGGCATAGTCAATGTAGTCGGTGTCGTTGCCCCGTGGTGCCGATGACTCTTCTCCCGGGTAGCGCAGGAACACGTCATCATCGGTGTCCGTCTTTGCCGTGTCGATCACATAATCTGTCTCTTCGTTTTCGCCGCTGTGGAGCTGAGGTGCTGGTTCGGCACACACAGTATTCTGAGCGGAGTGCTGGTTGTCTTCTCCCTGTGCCATAGTAGATATAGTCGTGTGGGTCAGTGGCACTGCTGGCACATGAACTGATACGCTGGTTGAGAACCAATCCGATGTGGTGTGTAGCGATGCGTTCCTATGCTCAAATCACCAGTATGTCCATGTCACGCCGGGTCACCTCGGTTACACCTCTCTCTCTCTCTCATTCTCTTTCTCTCTTTCTCTCTCTCTCTCTCTCTCTCTCTCTCTCTCTCTCTCTCTCTCTCTCTCTCTCTCTCTCTCTATCAGTTTACTCCAGCATCATGAGTCCTGCAGAAGAGATCAGAAGACAACAGCATACACTCATGAACATTGTATCGTCATGGCACAACTGGGTATATGGTGCAATACTGGCTATGGCTGTGGGGTTTTCCAGTACAGTTTAGTCAACATGACGCAGGGCTCTAACAAAACATACACTCTGACCTGCAATTGAAAGCTGAACTGGACACATACTAGCCATCATCCCTATTCCATTGGCTCAGTATGTGCCAATTCCGGAATGCTTCAACCTCGCCACCAACAAGCAACTCTGGTTAACAATCATTGACAGATGCATGAATTGACCCCTGTATGATTTGTTTATGCGGGCAATACCGTAAAATTCCGTAAATAAGCCCACCCTAAATAACGCCCATGTCCGATAATAAGCCCAGTTTTAGGCGGTGTACACTTCAAGCCCGTTTTAGCGCCCATGCCCGAAATAAGCCCAGGGCGTAAAGTGGACAAGTAGTTTACCTATCAAATCTGTAATTTATCGCTACATTCTTGGTTACGACCAAATTTCCAGCTGTGGTTTGATGTACCTGTACCGCGCTCAGTGTGAATGGTGGTTCACTGAAACTAGTGGGTTGCTGATAGATTGATCTTCTGTAGATTGCGTCCGAAATAACGCCCATGCCCTAAAATAAGCCCATGCCCAAATATACGCCCGGTTTTTTACGCTCTGCAAAGTATACGCCCGGGGCTTATTAACGGAATTTTACGGTACGCGACCTGTTCATAATACTAATATTACTAAGTTAGGTGCCGTGCTGTACTATGAAACATAGATACTGATACACGGAAACGGGCTAGGGCTGTGGGGCTGTGAGGTTGCAATGCCCACGACTTTGAAGCCAAGTGCACCCATGCAATAACGTCACCGTTTTACTCAATTCATCAATCCACACGTTTTGGGGCAGTTTCCTTCACAGTTTATGGTCACGACACATCTGCCGGTATTGGCGCTCCGGAGCTCCGGGGTCCCACTGCTGGTGTAGGGAGCACTTATACCATCATGTAACATGAGATGCCTCCCCACCAGATAGTGTACCATTCCGTATGGTCAGAGTGGATCCGATTTCACACTGAACTCGTTTTCTATTTTTTTTATCGACATCTGACATCATCATATTGAAGCCCTATCAATGGCTTTCACATGTCTCTTTGGAGAGAAGGTGTACTGTAGGTCTACAAATTTCGGCCTCCCAGGGTTAAAACCCATTTCGGCCGCATCAAATTTTCGGCCTGTACTGCTGCCGCCTGTATACACTGTCACACTGGACCTTGCAAAACAAAATGTCGGCCAAACATGACCAGGTGCAGACCAGGTGCAGGCCGAAAATAGCCGAAAATAAATATGCGCCGAACGCTTGTTGACTTGCAGTGGATTGTATTTCCAGACTTGTGACTTGAACACATACACTTAGTAGGGCTTGAACGTGGTGACACCAGAAGTCAATATTGTACGACTTCTAGGTCGAAATAATTGTCTCAATCTGGTGGGTAAGCCCCTCGTGTCGCATGCTGATCTGACTCTCCCAGTATCAGCAGGCAGTCCTCGAGTGTGCAGTCAGTCCCGGAGTGTGCAGTCAGTCCCGGAGTGTGCAGTCAGTCCCGGAGTGTGCAGTCAGTCCCGGAGTGTCCCGGAGTGTGCAGTCAGTCTCGGAGTGTGCAGTCAGTCCCGGAGTGTGCAGTTAGTCCCGGAGTGTGCAGTTAGTCCCGGAGTGTGCAGTCAATCCCGGAGCGTGCAGTCAGTCCCGGAGTGTGCAGTCAGTCCCGGAGTGTGCAGTCAGTCCCGGAGTGTGCAGTCAGTCCCGGAGTGTGCAGTCAGTCCCGGAGTGTGCAGTCAGTCCCGGAGTGTGCAGTCAGTCCCGGAGTGTGCAGTCAGTCCCGGAGTGTGCAGTCAGTCCCGGAGTGTGCAGTCAATCCAGGAGTGTGCAGTCAGTCCCGGAGTGTGCAGTCAGTCCCGGAGGATACATGTATGTAAAGGAAACCACCCAAACACTTATAAAAGCGCTGAAATGGATCCAATTTCAAATTCGTACTAGTACGAGGTGAATTGCGATTTCTGGACATTGTACATTTCTGGACATTTCGAGTAAAATAATTTTTCGTCGCGTGTAGAGTCAAGTCAGTCAGGTTGATGAAGTTTTTTCTTGCCGTAGTTGACAGCTGGGCTGTTGTAGTTTCTCCTCGTGTCGATGCCTTGTTGATAGCCTTTTCTTGGGAGGCATTTCAACGAGTTTTGTGGTACTATGTCGCATGAGAATTTTGAATTTTGAGTAAAATAAGAAGTAATGGACGAATCGTTGGCTTCCCCATGTGCACTCCACTTCAGACGCTGTATAGTCTTGGACCTGTTGGCTGGAAGTGTGAAGAGGCCAACTGCAGTCCACCAATAGAAATAATAACAAAAATGGTGCAGTATAGGATGCCTATTGACGCTATTTTACTTTCATGTCCAGAATTCCATACACTGAAATTTAGGCCAAAAAATTGGCCTGTCGAAAACGTCCTGCTATCAAGTCTCTGGGATCACAGCATGAGCAATTGTCACATATTTGGAAAGATGAAAGATTAGGCCATACAATAGATACAAAAAGATATGAAAAATGTAAAACACACAGCCAGCGGAGCTCTATTTTATTTTCATGTCCAGAAATTGCTATTCACCTCGTACTAGGAAATTAGAGGCCACATGCCTCGTACTGCTCTTTTCTCTCCAAAACTCAACACTTGCAAGCCAGATACGAAAGAAAGAAAAAATCATAAGTCACGCCACCGGGACTCGAACCAGAGACCTTGCTATTCGTGAGCAATGCTCTAACCAACTGAGCTACAGTATGACTCTTATCCGCAGTGAAGGCAAATCTATCCTTCTTCGATCAATCAATATCTGGCTTGCATCATACTGGCAACTCACACCAATCAAGAGGGCCCTCGGTCATCCGCTTGATATCATGGCGAGCGCTCTTGATTGGTGCGAGTTGCCGGTATGGATAAATACAAATTAACCCTTTAACCGTCAGACCATACATTTGTGGGTCGAATTCGACCCATCATTTGAAATACTCGCACTGGAATGATTTTTTACCCACGATAGAAAATTTACTATCGATTCGGTCGCGAATTTTCCAGGCTTTCTGTTGCAGAAATCCGCGTTGAGCTACGATGTAGTCATGGTAGTGGAGCAGAGTTATCAAGCACTGAGTAGTGCACGCTTGTCACTTCCGCTGCGCTGGGCGCGCGGCTGACGTCGTCACGGGATTTCCCCGTTTCTTCACGCGCTCTGTGACTGTTGCTCGCGACCAACGTATTCCTCACGAAATGCTCGATCTCTCAAAAAAATTTTGAACACTCTACGATGAAGGAGACGGCCATGGCGGAGTTTTGAACTTGTCATTTGCATGCCTGGCGTTGAGACGACGTCGCTGCGTTCCAGCGCTGGTTTTGTGACTGCTGAGGCGAAGAATGTGGTATCATCGTGCTGGTCTCGTCCAGAGCTTTCCAACGAGCCCAAGATTATAAAAATCGAGTGAGTACAACTAAAGTTATGACCTGGCAAAGTTGAAATTTCGTTCGTTAAATCTGGATCCATGCAAAGTCTGGATTAGATAGTCATACTAAAATCTGGATCCGTACAAAATCTAAACCCATACAAAATCTGGATCCATACAAAAAATCCGCATCCAAAAGTCAGCGCTGTCATGCCTCCGACCTCGTCCAAGCCCGCATGGTTTTGGCAGTGGTTAGTAGAGCCACTTTTTATGTGACCACAATGCTTCAAAAACACTGTGTAATGAAGTGTAGTGAGGTGTTGCTTGGGTGCTTGAGGGGGGGGGGGGGGGGCAAGTGTTGGGCTTCAAGCGATGGTATACTTGCCCAAAACACTGCCACTTACCAGCAGCGGGAGACTCTTCTTTTCGCTAGCAATCACAGATTCACACTGTCACACCCTACTAACGCCCCCCTCATCCCTCCCCCCCCCCCCCCCTCATTTTGTGTACATGAAGCAGCTAAGCGAACTGGATTATTTCCACCTCCATTAGACCCCTATCTCAGTCCTGGGATTGAGTGCGTGGTTTGGACGATTGGCTCGGAACTGGCAAAGGTGACCAGACCCGGAGTAGAGATGAGCAGCGAGTTCATTCAAACATTAGCCACCCTGAGCCTCTCTAAGTCTAACCCCAGTCAGGCTACAGTACATGACCATGCCAACCAGTCACTCAGTGCAGTATGGGCTACTAGCAGTGCCAGTAGCGCCCTCACCGTCCTTGGCTTCACCTAGTGATACGGAGTGGCTACATTTGCCTTTCCAGTAGGATGGCCGCAATGGACCTACCTGATACAGTGCTGGGTAGTCGGTAGTCTCATCAGGCGATCTCCGCACTCGCTCTCCAGGCTCCTGCGTCCTGGACGGCAGAACTTCACTCTTCAGCCCGTCCACTGAACTTCGGACTGGCTGGACTTGGTTCAAGAAGGGTCCTCGCTGCCTTCACTGCACTATTTTGTGCTAGCGTCGCCTTTTAGTTATGGTACCATGGTACCAGCCTACAGCCTACAGGCAAGAAATTGAAGAAAATGCTAGCTTACTTCCAAACGTTTTGCAGTGTACTATCCACCATGCATGATCCACCAAACTCCGTGCCAACTGCAGTGAAGTTTGACACGGATTTTTCGTTGCGCCGGCGCCGGTTCTGCTGTGCGGAGCATGCTGGTAGCATGCTCGAACTCCCCGCCACATGCGCAGTAGACTACTCTGTCCGCTCAGTTTTCGCACGGAGACCAGTCCGTGAAGCTGGCTTCACATGCACACGGAATGAAAAAATCCGTAAATACCGTGTGTACTGCACTGATCTGTAGATCTGCTGTGCCTAGTTAGTCCTGGAGCCAGGTCCAGAAATCTGCCAGTGTCATTTGACACCTCGCCCAGGAAAGATTTGACTTCAAATTCGGAGAGGCGAACCAACTATAGGAATTTTGGAGAAAACCAAAAGTTCCCAATGTTGTCCGTTTGGAAGTTATGAGCTATTTCCAAATTGCTTAGGTTACTATGGTAACCTGTGTGCAATTAGCCGTTTCTGAGGCAAAGCCAGTATAATTGTGGAGAACAAAGTTACCTTGTTGGATGGCGAGCTCTTTCGAAGACTATGAAAACCTGAAGTTTATAGGACTGTCGGCTTCCTTGTTACAGGAATTTCTCCAATTTCTACGGTTACCACGGTAACGTGTATGCTTTTAGCCACTTCTAAGCCAAAATCTATGCATTTTCTCCCCTGTAGGCAGGTGAAAAGCAGAGAATAGTTCTAATAGTGTGGCTTACATGTCTATGGGGCTGTTTCAAGCCAGGTTTGTAGAGACTGGGCCCCTCTCCCCTCTAACAATGCCGGGATTGGGATTGATCTGGCACTTTTTTCCCCCTTCCTTCACATACATGTACTTGAAGTACTAGCCTACGGTACCCGGACAGCGGTGTACTACATGTACGTGTATGTTGACAGAATCAGTGACCATGATCTGCTTTCCACCCAATTCACATTAATTAATTATTTATGGAACAATTTCATGCAGGCTGTCCAATCTACATGTACATGTACATGTTTTTGTATAAGCTTTAGGCAGGCAGGCATAGTGGGATGGTCTAAGACCGTGATTGAGAAACAGAGGGTACCCGGTTCAAGTCCTGCTTGGAAGCGGAAGGAATTTTTCCAGCCGTGCTGCGACCCACAGTTAATTGGGAACTCGTGGCCTGGCACGAGGAAAACATGGATGCAGTGAATGGGATTTTCGGTCTTTGACCACTTGCTGGTGAGCTGATCTACTCACCTCCCACCACTTTAGGAGCTGCATCTGCGCCTTGATCCTTGAAGGGTGGTGGCGTTCCTACGGATGCGGAAAACCCAGCCGAGTCTCACGCGAACCGTGAACTTTTTTTTTAGGAAGCATAGTGCCCATGAAATAAATATATGTAGACCAGGGCGGGGGTATCCTACACGAAGACCTGGAAGGGCAATTTTGGTGAACGAATTGGCGAATAGACAAACAACTGTCCTAACCGCAACCTACAGCAAACTCCGCCCCATGTTCCGTGTTCACGTGTCATCCTTCAGCAACTCACAGCTAGCAGGCATTTACACAGAAAGGTCTGATCACATCCCTCTGATCAAGCAACAGTTTCAAAACAGTGACTAATCCCAGGCCAGGGGACAGTGACCTCTCCTGCTATCTAGCCGAGCCACTATGAAGTCTATCACACTCATTTACCTAGTACCTGTGGCATCATTTCCAGCACTCACAGATACGTGTGCAGCAGTGGTTCACGATCCAACTGGGCCACAAGCGATGCAACCTGAATACCTGATGCCACAGATTCTAGTGCATGTACATCGAACACCCTGAATGAATGAATGGTTTCACCTCTATACATGCACATGTAAATGTGGAGACAGTTTTAATCTGGACATATTGACAACTCTCAACTCCTACAAGTACAAGCCTGCATGCTTGGATGGCGTTCCTCCCTGCATATTTGGTCACGCAAAGCATCTACATTGTGCATTGTATTGCAGCCAAGACGGTGGTATGTACATGTACATGTACGTCCTCTCTTCAAATCCGTAGACAAACTATCAGCTACTGCCCATATCTCTTGCCAATTGCCAAGGTATTGGAGACAATCATTCATCGGCAGGTTTGGAGTTCTTTAAGTGACAATAGTGAGGTTTCTGCCCTGCCAAGGAGCAGTTTGCATACTCAGATCTCTCGAGTCTTCTAAGTCATCTCCAAGTGAAAAGGGAACTTGGTCTGTGCAAGATAAAGTCCGAGTATACTATGGATGTGAAAAAATACAGTACAGTCTGTATCGGCTATAGAGTGACCGGATATAAGAATATATCGGCTACAGTGATATTGGTACGAAATATCAAAAGCAAAACGTATTTTATCCAGTACAAATATCACTATAACCAATATTATCGGATGAATTGATATATCGGATATTATGATGGCAACAAAGAATCAAAACATGCATAACACACTGCATTATTATCGGCTATAGTGATAACTTTAAAATACATGTTGCAATAATATCAAAGGCCCTATTTTTCTTTCTTTCTTTCTTCACGTTCTTCACGTTGCTTATTTTGATAGTGACACATGTACATGTACTTAAGAGAATTTTTTTATGGAAATGCGGGCACTGTCAACTATGCAGCATGCTCATTTGTCAAAACGCCATGCTGGAAGTATTTCCCTGCCTTTCATGTGTTGATCGAAAAAAATCGATCGTATCGCATATAGTGATGCATCGGTTATAGTGATAAAATCACGGAAATCAAAAGGGTACGCTATAGCCGATACAGACTGTACTTGAAGTTGAACATTATACATGTGCAAAATGTAGTTGGGTTGCCAGCATGCTAATACACGCTAGGCGGAGTACGCACTGTGTTCGAAAACAGTGCTCTTTGCTCCTTATGACTTTGCAACAACCTCCACGGTTGGCAGAGCCCCAGTACCGCGGTCTTGCGACCACTTGAACTATTGGGCTAGTTCCGGTTCTGACCCTCATTATGCTAGGGAGTTGTTTGATTCTTCTTGTTTTTGTTTTGTACTGTCAGTTGTGTTTTCCTTGCTTGTTCTTGGATGTCAGCTCTGCGTAAATCCTCTTGATCCTTTTGTTTTCAACCTTTCAGCTTCGGTTCTATATTGTTTCTGTTATGTTTGTTCTTCTTTTCTTTTATACCCTTCTCTTCATTTCTCCAACTTCTACCCATGGCATCCTTCTCTCAGCTCGTCAGCTGACAACACCACGAGAAGGTGCTCGCTGTAGACGAGGTTGGTGATGTCCCGACCTGGCTGTGGGGCTAGCCCCATACCGTTCAAATGGTCGCAAGACATGTAGTGTAGGACTCGGTGTGGATCCCGGCACTAAATCAGGAGAGAGGGTCCCAGTCTCTACAAGTCAGGCTTGAAACAGCCCGATAGACCTGTAAGCCACATCTGCTTTCCACCTGCCTACAGGGCCGAAAATGCATTGATTTTGGCTTAGAAGTGGCTAAAAGCATACACGTTACCGTGGTAACCGTAGAAATTGGAGAAATTCCTGTAACAAGGAAGCCGACAGTCCTATAAACTTCTGGTTTTCAATAATAGTCTTCGAAAGAGTTCGCCATCCAACAAAGTATCTTTGTTCTCCACAATTGTACTGGCTTTGCCTCAGAAACGGCTAATTGCACACAGGTTTCCATAGTAACCTAAGCAATTTGGAAATAGCTCATAACTTCCAAACGGACAACATTGGGAACTTCTGGTTTTCTCCAAAATTCCTATAGTTGGTTCGCCTCTCCGAATTTGAAGTCAAATCTTTCCTGGACGAGGTGTCAAATGCAACTCCTCAATAAAGCGACTTTTTCGGACTTGGCCCCAGCACTAAGTCGGTGACTGCGTTATGGCAGGGCCTCGCGTCATTGACGCCGCTGCCGGGTAAAAATTAATAGCCTACCCGTACTCAAAATGGTACTCGCGCGATTAGTGCCCCTGGGGCACTATTTTTTCAATGTCCATCACAGATGGGGCCGTATTCAAGAGAGGGCATTATTCAAGAGAGGGCACTATTTTTTCATTGCTGGTACATTTGCATCATCCAGCATAAAACAAAGAAAAACAGAGCCTAAAGTGTACTGTAAACGCTCACGACTCCACAGAAACGGAAACAAGACCTGCGATTTTGTTCCTGAAAACACCAGTGCAAAGTGGCCAAGAACATTAGCAAAAGAACACCAAACTTGCACATGGGCTTGGTTACAAGACCGGGGGGGGGGGGCACTATTCAAGAGAGGGCTCTATTTTTCACTGGCTCTTGCCGTTTTGGAGACTAGGGCACTATTCAAGAGAGGGCTCTAATCGCGTGAGTACGGTATAATTTATATCATAATTATGCAGTCATCTACATGTACTTGGCGTGGTCGGTTGTAAGCCTGGTCACGGTGTGTGATAATGGTGTTGTTTCGTCTGAGTAAACGGATCGGATTATACAGTATCAGCGGTTGGTTTTTAAAATCTCTGAAAGCTTCTTTTTATCGCCTTGACGGGCACAGCTAGACGCGTGACAAAAGATTTTCGAGTTGGAGCACTGCAGTGTACATGAATTGACTACAGTCAACTTCGCTAATAACGACTGCGGATATAACGACAATTCGCGAATAACGGCAGAATTTCCATGCCCAGAGCCCCATCCAACTGTAATACTACAGTCGTCCCTCTCTAATCCGGCACTTTATAATCCAGCACCCTCGATAAACCGGCACAATTTTCAGTAGCCAAATGTCCTCTTCATGCACATTGCAGCAGTAGATCAGATTTGTTAATCCAGCACCCTCCCTAATCCAGCAGATTTTCGTGGCACAAATGGTGCCGGATTATAGAGGGACCACTGTATAATGAGACTTCGGGTATAACGACACTTCGCAAATAACTACACTTTTCTGATGCCCCGCTGAGTGTCGTTATAAGCGAAGTTGACTGTATAGTCCTTATGCACATTGTACAGATGTACGAAGTTCTGCACTAGGGCCGTAGGTGTGTACATACCCGGTTGGGTGTTCATTGTGTGCTATACATGCGTGTTTGACCCATTTAGCCTCATAATTCGCGGCGAACATTCACTTTTCCAGCTTCTTCACTTTGGGATTGAACTAACGACTCGCTAGATCACTGTCGAAAAAGTGTTCGTATGAAATGCCTTCAGGGCCCATTTCGTTGTGGAAATAGCAATAAACACAATAGGGTCCTGCACATTCAACACCCAACCGGGTCTACGGGATTTCGTGCATCTGTACAACGTGCATAAGGCCTATTGTCTTGTACTTCCACAAAGCTCCCAGTCCACATCATGATGCTGTGACGTAGCACTTTCAAGCCCTATTAGGGCTTGAAAGTGCTACGTCACAGCATAGCAACAATTTCAAAAATTCAAAAATTGGATCCACTTGGATCCAGTATTTGTATGCATCCAAGCACATTTCCAGCCGTCTTACTCACCGCAAGGTGATGTAACCAGTGAAACGGACTGATTTGGCTACTGGGGGCGGGGTTACAACTGGTGGCGAAGTAAAAGTCACCCCTGCATACGACATGAGTGGGTTGCTATGCACCCACATACTGAGGCAATAGCAAAGTCACACCTTAGTCCTTAGTGGATCCAAAATAGAAATCTGATGTCAATTTGCTACTCCCTGGCCGTTTTTGACGTCATCACTTTCAAGCCCGATGCCTCTATTCACTATTGGTCTGAGCCAAAGTTTTTTTCATGATTGTCCGTGTGTGGGTTACAGTGAGGGCTGCGTCCCACCCGCCCGCCTCAGCCCTGTGTGGATTCATAAGAAATGGGAGCTACGAAGTCTGAAGAAAATGTTGACCGGTCTCTGCTGAGATGACGACTACACCATAGCTCAGTGGTTAGAGCATCGCTGGCTACAAGCGAGCGTCCCTGGTTTGAGTCCTGGTGGTGACAGCCAATTTTTCTTCAGACTTCTCCCGTTCGCGTCTTTCCCTCAAGCCAGTGAATATTATCTGTTCTTTTGGTCTTTTTGCTGAAGCATATGCATAATTAAATTGGCCGTTTTCTCGAGCAACCAGTTACCTGCGAGCATCCGCTAGAGCATAATCTGGTCAGCATCCGCTAGAGCATAATCTGGTCATTTCCGAGCATAATCCGCTTCCTGTAAGTGCCGAATCGGACCACACGGCAAGCAGCCGCGCAATGCCGTGGACAGGAGGAGCCCACACTACACTGCTATCTACATTACAGACATGTCGACATGTCCATAGTCGACGGGGCAGAGGCAGCATGGACATGGAGAGGTCAAACCTTACAGTTACACCAGCAGCGCACCCTTCGCTCAGGCACTCTTTCCGTCCAGCCCAATGTGGCAATGAGTTCAGCACAGTACAGCTGGAGGCAATCAAGCAAGTGCATCCGCTTTTTCATTGTGAAGAAGGTCCAGTTTGGCGAACAACAACTGGCAGAGGTGGAATACACAGTTTTGAACTGAGAGCAACTGCAACAGTACTACAAAAAATAGGAAAATACAATGTAGATGCTGCAGCCAGATAGCTAGCTGCAGTAGAATTTGTCGAACTAAAAAATTAGAAGCAAAATGCTGGCGAAATGGTCACTCCTGCATGTATGCCAGCCTGGAAAGGGGGGGGGGCTTCTTCATTAGGCTGCATTGTGTTGAAATTTCAGAGAGCGTGTCGGCGAGGGCAGGCATGCCATAACTAGTGCATGTGCAGCCCGTCTGTGGCCAGGCCACGCGTGGCTAATATTAATAGAGCACTGAGCCTGACCCAGACACTATAATCTCTCCACTCGAGAGAACTTCTAGGAACACAAGCAAAACGAGCATTACTAATGCCCGGCAGGCCGGAAAGCTGCTCTTGTTTTCCAGAGCAAGCGGCACCGGCATGCATCATAAACACAAACGGAACTTTCTTGTGAGGAAACGGACATGTTCTGGAAATTTAAAAAAAACTATTGGCTCCACACATCAGCTCCACACAATGGTGTACCTACACCAAGAGATACGCGGAGAACCGAAGCTAATCAGAAATGTAGACAATATTCGGCCAGCACAGGCGGCAGCTTGTCTAAGATCGAGAGGTTATTGGTCTGACGGCACAGGTCCATAAAAGCCTTGGCAGTGAGTTGCTTCATTGGAACGAGCTGCACCGAAATACATGTAAGCATAACAAGCAACAACAGCCACTGTACAGAATGAATTGTAATCATGTACTAGTACGAATATCGGGTGGACTAACAGCTCCCTACACAGTGCAATGGGCTCAGGACGCCATAATCAAAATTCAAACCTTTCCGAAAGGAGTAGCCCGGGCAAGGATAAAACAAACTCAATTCACTTCATTCTTTCGATTTACCAGGTATTCAGATAGTTGCTAATAGGATGCTGTCCGTAACATTTGAAACAGTTTTATAGCAAGCATGGATAGTGGCCGAGTGTAGGCTGACCTACGCACATTCCTGCATTTCCAGCCATTGTCCACCGTTAACGCGTTAGGCAATAGCATGTGCACTCACGCCGCTGGGCTGCCAACTGACAGATCTAACTACTACTGTTTTGTTCCTTGCACATATCAGAGCTAGTGCTATGTACCTGTAACACATCCTCCCTCTTCTCTCTTTCTTCTGATGTGTCGTCAGGAGCCCTACACTGCACCGTAGTAATTTAGGAGCCCTACACTGCACCGTAGTAATTTAGGAGCACTGCTGTAGTGTATTGATAAGACAATAGTTTACGCAATCAATCTATATACCGGAATTGTCCTCGCTGTGGTGATGGTGATGTGAGTGCAGAGTTTGGATCGGCCAAGAGCGCAATGTGGTGGTGTGGTGTATTGGATTCAATAGTTTACGCGTGCCAAGTTTCCTGCCTGATGATGGTCCAACATGGGAATGTTACATAGAAAACAAGTCCAGTGCATAGATCGAGAGGCATATAGTGGTTTGCAGTTGCTTGCCCCGGCCTCTCGGATGTATTTTGACGTGAAGCCGCAAAAAAAAACGTCCCAAATTATCCTTCCCGCGCCCGGCACTACCCCATAGAAAAAGATGATCTGTTTTTTTTTAAGTACAACAATGCCATAACAGCGGGACACATGTATGTACATCATGGTGTATACAGCATATCTCTCAGTATTTACCACTGCTCTGCACGTTTTGGAGCCGCATCTGACGCCTGATCATTGGGTGGTGGCGTCCCACGGAAGCGGAAAGGTGGTTCTTGACCAGGGGGTTGTACAACTCCTTGTTCTTGACCTGCCCGGTATGCGAACCCGTCGAATTTTTTTCTTCTTTTTTTCTGCACGACTACAGATGCAAGTCTTTGAAATCCTGCTATGCCGTCCGAAAGTGCCAAGAATGGGAATAGACCGGAAAAAGGGAGTGGACCAGTCAAAAACACAGTTGCGTACTATCGATCATCCTAACCCTTTGGGGTAGACGACATTCAGAAAGCGTTTGGATAATAGAGAGGTTGCGCACAACGTTTCGTAGTGTTTGACGTAAGAAACGACCACTGAAAAAGCTGAAGAAACTTAATCGGTTGATTGGGAGGTTGCACAACAGTGGCATTATCAAGTTTTTCCTAGTACGAGGAATAGGTATAGACAGTCAGGCATGCAAACGCTAAGCGTATGGCAGTATGCAGGCGTCAGGGGTCTTACATAACGGTGTCGCAGTACGGTGATTGCGACGAAAGCAATTTTCGTTGCTGAACTTTACACGAGTAATGACAGGCATGCCATTAGTGCACACGAACAACCTGGTACGTGTAGATCTACGGACTACTTCAAACTGCATATGAATGCACTGGTGTGCCATTTCCGGCGCAGTTTTTCCCAGGGAGGGGGTGGGTCCAGCAATTCTGGATAACCTATTGTCCGGATAATCAATGCTACACACACACACACACACACACACACACACACACACACACACACACACACACACACACACACACACGCACACACATTACATGTAGTGAGAACCAGTTGATCAAGTCGACTCAACTAACCTTTACCAGTTGCTCTAACTCGTCTCCAGTTAGACATGCAGCTAAGGCGTTGTCCGGAAGATGGCTACCCTCCGAATCACGTCCCTGTGAGTAGGCGCCATGACTCAGGAGTAACCGCACAAGACGTTTTGCTTCTTCGCGGCTCTGCTCCACACTGTATGCTGCCTTGGGATTCCATCTAGTGTTACCACTGCCACCAGGATGAAGGCTGAAGAGAACCTTGTCTGTCTCCACGGGCGCTCTCTTTTGCTCTGGGTCTATAGTGTTAAGCAGTGTTTTTGTTACACCAAGATCTTGATTGCTGTATAGCGAGGCAGGGTAACCCGTATACATAGATCTCTGCACACAGACAACACAGACAACACAAACAACACAGACAACACACACACACAACACACAAACACACACAACACACAGCACACACACACACACACACACACACGATCCCCAGATGTGAATATTCCTTTACGTCTAGCCATTGCTTACTCGACGGTGCGTCAAAGTCAGTTTAACATGCTCGATGCAAGCGGCAAGTGACACTTCATGTACTTCTCTTATACTCAATATTATCAGAGATGAAAATAGTTTCGCGAGGACGAATTGTAACAAACCGAACACCGATATCCTACAGTACTGTACTTAGTTGATGACAACGATGGACTAAGGCGACGCCGTTTTTTCTATGTTCGCGTCACCTCAATGAGGGAGGGCGAAAAAAATAAAAAAGCCATCCAAAAAAAAAGTGTACGTGCATTGCATTTGTGTACAATGAAGCTTAGACCCGGCACTGTTCGTGTACATAGTCATTGAACATTATTAATTCATACATGCATACATGAATACACGAGTGTATCCCCCGAAACAGTTTGCTGTCTACAGCATTGGGTTGAATACACGAGTGTATTCACTTCAATACGTTGAATGTCGTCAAGTAAGTTTGTTGCACATGCTATCGCTACTGATTGGTAACAACTGGCCAAACTGTGTCAGCATTATCAGCCGATGGGAAGCCACGCCTCTGCCATGCTTGTGGTCCAAACACAAGTGGTATGATGATTGCGTGACTTGCGGCCCAGCCACACACACATGTACATGACGTATGTGAGCTGAGTACAATCATGCGATGAATAGAACAAATGATGCCGTAGTTACCATGTAACAATCATGTTTCCGTTTTTCTTTCTGGTACATTTTTTTCCTTTTCTAGTTTTCTGGGTTTGCATTAAATTTGTATTGCATTTTCAAAAAAAACATGTTCTTTTTTTCTTTCTCTTTTTTCACTTCGGCTGTGAAATACACGCGCGCCGGGGACGCGAAACATAGATAAAAAACGATGTGGGCTAACTAAAATGCAATATCACGTATAGTATCACATGACGATTTGCTCAGGACGGCTTGTTGTTTAAATTAGCCGTCTGCCTTTCGCCATTGAGCACTGTACTGGACAGCCTGAAACTTTGCTCCCCATAGTCAAGTGTCAAGTCAAGTCGGTGGAATAGCGCAGCCTCCAATGTGGGGAGCAAACCCTTTCCTATAAAGGAATATAACAAATACTCAATCTGCGGACAGAACTGTTTCGTCCTTTGTGGACTCGTCGGCGCAGCACAGAGAAAATTAGGAAGAACCTGATAGCAATGAAAAATAAAATTTCCAAAGCCAGATTTAAACCAGGCCCGAACGTACCTTGCCAGAGTGCTCAAACCGACAAGTGAGCATTGCACAATACATAGTGTATGAATGCAACCGGCTAGCAGTTGGACACATTCCATTGACGCCAACTGCGTTCACTCATCAGCTTCACCTGGCCACAGAAAATATCGAAACGTAGCCTTGTACCAAGCGCTGCAATGCGCGCCCGCACAGTTGGCGAAGGCACACTAATTAGCACTTCTGAAAACGGCATAGGGCTAGGAAGGCCCAGGGCGACCCTCCAGTATACTCTGTCATCGTACTTGAAGTCAACGGGCCGTGGACAGCCGGAGACCCTGCAGGACCTCCACAAGCTGCAGGAGATAGCTCGGGACAGCCGGCCAGCGTAGAGGCAGCTCTGCAGCTCCATCTACAAGAAATTGCGACACTGAGGACCCAATGCGTCGAGACTGGCATTAATGTTAATGTATTAACATATCACTATTTCACTTTTAGTCAAAGAATACTTTTGTCTCTCCAGTGTGAGAGGTGTGCTTCAAGTTACACTCCAGTACACCAGTCACCTGGTCACCGTACCCGCAGGCTACAACTATCACTTACTTACAACCAGGGAGTAGTACAGTACCGTACTACTCCCTGCCTACAACCTGTTTAGGCGTGTTCCTGTCACTCGAGTTGTTGAACCTTTGAACCTTCGAGTTCAAACTTGGTGTGAAAGTTTCAACCTGCAGGCATGGTGACCAGGTGATTGGTGTACGCATGAGCACATGACCGCTTACTCAACCGTGTTCGATTAGGAATAAGGGCCGAACGCTGCATCGCAACCTTTTCGGACCAAAACCAGTCGACTCAGCGTCCAAAAACTACAACATATGGGCCAATCGCGATCATCTGTGCTTTTATAAGAAAAAATAGCGCTTTTAGTGACATTTTGCAATTTGCATACAGATCTCCATCTAGTAGGGCGCAGTCACCCAATTTCGGTGGAAGCGGCAAGCTCGATAGGGATGAGAGGAAGGAGCGTCCCCGCTTCCTCGAATCAAGACCATTCAACTCAGCACCCCGAAGACTACAACCGGCGAAAATTTGATTTCAGGGTATACTTCCCCTTCAAAAGAAGCAGAAAAAGACCTTCAAACACGCTTACGTGGCGGTCCACTGCTAGGTACGTATCCAAGGCAACATGGAGCGGAGTCTTTCCATTGACATCTCGTGTATTGATTGAGGTGGCTGATGCAGTCGTGAGGAACACTGCCAGTAGGTCAGCGCTGGGCAAGTAGTGATCTGGAGTGGCTTTGCTTACTCCTGGCACAAGGCCCGATACCTCCTCCTGTGCGGGATAGCAGCATACAGAGCACTTTGATGTAACCAGCTCAAGATTTTTCTATCAATCTTCTAGAAGACACCTAAGCCGACCATGGGGGATGCCATATTTTCTGCGATGTTCACACAAGCTGAAGAGAGTTCTAGCAAAAGTGACCTGATTTGCTGTACACTTTGAACTGACAACATGTAGAATCTATTGCTAGTGCCATAATGGATTGCACTATGTGAAATGTAGTCTGATAACACCATACATGCATTGTCCTAGCCGTGGGGGAGTTCTGAGGGTTTTTATGGGTATCAAAGTGCGGTTTACACCCCGGATTCTTATTATTACACCCCGGATCTGCGTCTGCATCTGCTGCAGCTGTGCATTGATATAGATGGTGGCGGCGTTCCTGCGGATGCGGAGAACTCAGCCTCCAGTCGAGGCTCACGGGAACCGTATTGAATGTTTTAATTAACCTTTTGAGCACGCGTGACGTTCTGACACGTCAGGACCACTGCCACTGTCACACGCGTGACGTTGTAGAACGTCACGCGTGCTAGAACGTCACGAGTCAGTACGGAACTACATCGATTCCGCGTTTCTTCCGTGGCTTGGCGTCTAGCTGTACCGCTGCACAGAGGACTCCTAGGATGTACGAGTACAGTGAAAAATGTGAGTCGCTCCGTAAGTTTGAACTGGAGTTACATGCGCGTGCATACTACCATTTCAAAAATACCAATTTCGCGTAAAACTACCTTTCTGAAAACGGTCATAACTTTTGTAATCTTTGTTGTATTTCCAAAACAAAAACAGTTCTGTGCTCAGGATACATGAAAGAATCGTTTGAAATCAAGTTTGCTCACATAGAGTGAATTAAATTGTTTTACTGCGTGGCAGAGGTTTTCAATGGGCCCGGGCTCAAAAGGAAAGGGACATATTGGTAATCATCTAGTTTAGTAGGGTCCCAAATTATTTCGCATTTTCTCAGTGTTCTGTGTACTTTCCGTGTACGTGTGTTTCGTTCCTCTCGAACTCTTTGCCTCCACACGACCTCGCAGAGGTAGGTTGGAAACAACTCGCGACTCGGCGAGACATGCCGAAGTTTGAGCTGGCGCTTAGCACGCATCCACATATTCTCGACATTGTTGGTACGACTCGTATGGATGCTTCGATCATCCGGATCAACAAAGTGGTCGTTACTTATGTCACATGAACACGCACACGCAGTCACGCACTGCACCTAATAGTACCACTCGGCTACGTATTACAATTACCACAAAGTCAAAGGAAACAATTCTAAGGACACAAAACTTCGAAACACACTCAACCACGCTCTCAAGTACACAGAAAGTGCACAGAAAGTACACCGAACACTGGGAAAGTGCGAAATAATTTGGGACCCTAAACTAGATGGATACGAGTTCCGAGTTGTACCCTGGAAAATATGGTACATGTACGACTTGTAGTTCAGTTTACTTCTTCAAATCCATGGCGGAGAGCATGCCCATTTAAAATTGATGTTAGAGAGGGGAGGGGGGGGGGGGGGGGTCGTCAGTATTTTCATATGCTGTGTTGTTTTAACTGAAGTAGCTCGCGACGCACACAATACCCCTGGCTTAAAAGGCCCCCTGCGGAACTCACCCTGCACAATAAGTGGAGGACCGACTGAGATCGGAGCCGGTCAAAGTAGCCGAGATTTCCGAACGCAATTGCCATTCCCTGGCGTTCGGCGAATGCTTCGCTATCAACACCATATGGCATACGGTACCACATCGACAGGAGCAGGACAGACAAGTGAAACGTATTATCTACCAACTCTGAGCGTCCGTGGTTATTCATCATCCACTGCAAGTCCCCATACATGAAATGGGCAAATGGCGCAAAGTTGTCAGGCTGGTAACCTCCATCCATGCACGTTTTTATGGCGTGGATCCACTCAAACATAATGTCGTGTCCATCTGAAAAAATGCACAGTCAACCATTATATATATTTAGATATTGGACATGATAAACACAGCACATGCATAGCATGGTCACTGAGAGTCACCAAAATGGCTTGGCAAAGTGATGTTAGCAAAAGGCCAAAAAGGCCGGGTTAAAAATAGGTTTGCACCCTGCAGTTGTTGAAAGGTCGGGTACGTACCTGTGCCAACGCCTTTGTGAATCACATTCATTCAGGTCTACAGTGCATTCATAAAAAGATGATATCCTAGCTTTTGGCCATAACTAGGTCAAATTTTGAGTTTTCACAATTGTTTTCGGCAATCCTCATGGAATGCACTTCCAATGATGTTTCCGAAGTGAGTATTTCTCCAAAAAAGCAAGCCATAACAAGATTTCGGCCAGGTTTTGCCCCCAAAGCACAGAATTGGGGAAAATCATGAAAATCCAGGCCGTTCACTCCACTTGCATGACAGTACGATAAGCGTTTCGAATCCAAGTTCAGGTACCTTTTGGACCCATTTTCAAGTTTCAAGTCTCGCAGCACTGCACTGTGTACGAAAAAATCACGAAAAATCAACAAATACGGGAACTCGCCAGAGCCGGCGCTTCTCTATTTTTCTGAATGGACTGTGCAATGGACTGTGCAATGGACTGTGCACTGTTTCATTGAAAATCAGCTGCAAACAGACTTGTTTAATGTGTCCAGAACACCAGCCGCCACCTGCCTCCCTGTTATTCAGTAAGTGTGTGCGCATTGTAGCTATCTGAATTTGTTTACCTTAGGTCTTAGACTTCAGCAGGGTTGTGTGTAGCACCCCCCCCCCCCCCTCCCCCCTCCCTTCCCCCCAACCCTTTCCCTACATGAGCCTCAGGGAGTGGACACGAGACTATAGTACCCAAATGGGCCAAAAGAGTGTTTCGATCCCGAATATGGAAATACTACATGATCAGCACCCTACGCAACTCACAATCGCGCGTGCCTGCCCAACTCTTTTGTATCCTTCAAGATTTTCCTCCCGATATATTCTGGGTTTTCTCCGCCGGTGTATGCATTTCAGGAAGCACACGGATCGACTGGGATACGACTAACAACGCAAAAGGAGAAAATCAGTGGTGAACTCCCTACATTGCAAACATAGTCTTACTGAGGCCACAGTAGGTAGCGTCGGAGTTCTTCATAGTCTTGATGGAGTGCTCATATAGCGACAGGCATTTCTTATACTGTCTGTCGTTTGTCAGACGCGAGTTGGCGGCTTTCCTGACAAATCAATTCACCACACAAGATCAACAGAGAACGACAAGAAGACATGGAATTCATTGTTACAGGACTGCAGGGAAAGGAGCATCACGGCAGGCTCTAGGTAGTGGCACCCATGCATGTAGAAGGTATAGTAGAGTTCGCACGTCCATCTTACCAACGGCTTACATTTGTGTTGAGAAACACAACCAGCTTGGAGAAGTTAGTTTCGCTTGTATCAGGTCATCACCATGCCTGACTATACCAGGATGGCAGATGTAGTGCCATAAACGGCGAGGGTGCGGTGGTTAAGTCTCACGACCCATGCCTGGCAAGATCACGAACCTTGTTAGCTGCATCTTTGTTACCCTGCATGTACAAGGCATTTCACCAGGGTTGAAACAAGCCCTTGGCGGATAATGCCACTAAAAATTGGCAAATTCTGCTAAAAAAACAGCGAAATTGGCAGAACCATACAAACCTTATGGCAGGCACGTCCTTGAATTCTGCTCCATTTCTTTATCCACATACCGAACATCATGAAACATATCAGAAAAAGTACCCAATTCTGCCGGTTTTCCTGCCAGCATTATCCGCCAAGGACTAGTTGAAACTAGCCTGAAACTGATGGGATTCCATCACTGGCTCACACTGTCCGTCTATTAAAGAAGTAGAACACATAATTATTTAAACTTCATGCCCACTGGTGATATTGCCATGTTGCTGCCATGTTGCCATGGTGATATTGGTTGCCATGTTTGCTGTACTTCAGTAGTTGTTGGATTACTAGTTATGATAATTACACTGATTGGTTTGTTTGTTGGGAAAGGGGACTATGACTCACAAGAGTACTGAACAGGACAGAATGCGACTCTACAGCCCGGGAATAACCAACGGTTTTCGGAATATTTTAAATACGTCCAAGTACATCGACACAGAGAGAATAAGTTCATAGAGCTACCCAGAGTATAAAGGATGCAGAAATCACCAATCATCAATCACCATAACACGCGGATGAATAGTTTTGAAACTCGGATGCTGAGCCAATAGTATAATATCAGGCGCGTAGCACCACTGTTCACTGTTGGAGGTGGTTCTGCAGGAGGGGGGGGGGGGGGGCGGGGTCTCCCCCGGGGAAATTTTGGAATTAGGGTGCAAAATCCTGCATTCTGGGCACTTTGGGTATTGTGTTAAAAAAAAGTGGTCCGGCCAAAGCCGGACCGGCCGGACCGGCTTCTATGCCCCTGAATATGTACATGTGGAAAGGAAAAGGACATATGGATAGATACGAGTTAAGGGTAACTGTCAACCACTGTAACTAGATACTATTGTACAGTCAGAAAGTGCAACAACCGTAGGCACAAAACTGACAGAGTACTGAGGCATTAGACATAAGACATGGGACTTTTCTGACTATAATTAGAACAGTATCTAGTTACAGTGGTGGACAGTTACCCTTAACTCGTATCCATTATGTCCTTTTCCTTTCTACATGAATAGTTTTATTCCAGAATTGCAATTTTTGCATTCCACTCCTCCGTAGGAAAAAGCGGCACTCATACAGTCCACTCCTTAGAAACTGGCACCCCGGCTGCCGACTTGGTGGTGTCACCAACGTAAAGTTGCAAGTAACAATTGTACTCCTTGCACTGTGTGACCCATGCACTTATTCCTTGGCACATTCAACAAATCCAGGGCCAGGGAAGTAGAAATTCAGCCAGGTTTTACAAAATTCAGCCAGGCTTTACAAAATTCGGGTAGGTATGCCATTGGAGCGTGACTTTTGCTCGAACGGAGAGTTGCCAGAAGCATGTCCTGGAGACAGGTCGGCAGATGCGGAACAAGACATCTTTGGAGTCCAAACAAAGCTGTAAACACAAGTAAAACAACTCTGTAGCGTGCAGGCCACATGACAAATGACACATGACACGTGACACAGTCACTGTGGCTGCAAGTGGTTTTCATTTTGGGCGCTTGACTTAATACTAGTTGATACTAGTTGCACTGTCTGTCCTGTCGACATGTGTAGTGCTATATGTAGAGCCGTACGGTGGACAGTGTTCGCTAGTGCAAATAAACTGGCCGCACAAGCGAGCCGAGTTTCTGGCGAGCAAGCTAACGAGTATCCAGTGAGATCCTTTCAGCACTAGAACTGCTACTGAAAGATGGGATCAAACCAAAGTGGTGATCATTACATCTCATGCCTAGCAGCTCCAAGGTCAAACACATCCTACGTATGTTGTTAGGGACAACACGTGGTTCATTGTTCCAGTCAAGTATGAGACTTGGTCCAAAAATCATGTTCACCCAGGCATGCTGCTATCATCTTCAGTGGCTCAGTGTTCAGTGGCTCAGTGTTCAGTGGCTCAGTGTTCAGTGGCTCAGTGCTTGTTAACAAGTAACTATTTTAAAAGTATTCGCTTGCGTCTATCAACTTGTACTTCTGCATGTCAGCCATCAAGGCGATGCGCTGTGGAATTCAATGCAAGGTTCTTCACCCAGCTGTGAATGGAGCACGGTTTTAAGCATGTCAGGACCTTAGAAGTTGGAACAGATGAGAAATTTATGGAAAAGGAAAATGGACCAAGGAACTACAAGTTACGCTATAATGTCCACTAACATCACCAGTTACTAAACAATCAGCATAACTTGTAGTTCCTTGGTCCTTTTTTCTTTTCAATAAATTCATCCTTGCCCTCTCCATCCGAGTCCAGATGAGAAATTGAAGTTCATTTGTACTTTCAGAATGAATACACTAGCAACAGCAATTGCATGTGGCTACAAAGCTTGCAAGACAAAGCCATCAGAATGATCAGATGCAATAATGCCATTGTTCTCTCTCACGCAGCTCGTAAATTTTCCAACACACGAGTCATTGTCTGGCATGGGGGCAGCTCTGGACCTAGTTGTCACTGATATACCGGACTCTATATCTTGCCTCCGTGCTACAGCACCCTGACTGGTCAATCCGATCATTCTATCGTTGTTGGCCACATCCGTACTGTACCCTGCCCAGAAATGCCCACATATCGTTCTCGTGATGCTCGTTCGACTCCCCTGGATGTCCTGATTTTAGTGTCTTTTCTTTGGATTCTCTAGACAGCAACACTGTCGCGAGTATGAATACTGCCATGTTCCACATACACTGGCCAGCAGCTTTGAGCCTGGAGAGGCGCGATCCTGACATATCTGTGGACAACTTTTACTCTACCCTCCATAGCATCTGTGCAAGATTTCTGCCCAGGGGGAAGCGGCCAGCTGTCACGCGTATCCATATGAATGATCTGTGAAAACCCACCCTGCTGACCCTCTTGGGTACGCCCCTGCACACGCACACACTTCTACTTCCACAACGTGACATGCCTCTCGCTGAAGAGATGATGCAGGGAATACCAGTAGTGAACAAGCTAGGTTAGACAAACATGCAGCAACTTGTGCTGGGATTACACCCTACAACAGCTTCCAAGGCCGATGAATTGCCCGCCACTATTTTTGGCCTGGTCTACACCACACAGCTGACTGAAGTGCCTTTTTCTGGCGCACTTGGGCATGTTGTGAGACCGGATGAGTGCAGCTTAGGTATGCTCTACCATTGCCACAAGATGTAAGCTTCAACCAGGCCAAAGTCAGCCACCCTGCTATTCATGAACCTTAAGGATTCCGGTCATATACACACCTGTACACACACACACACACACACACACACACACACACACCTGCACACACCTGACCTTTGACGCCCATCGCCGGAGGCGATGATAGCAATGCTACGGCAGAAGCCATAGCAACTTGTGCTGGGATTACACCATTCAACAGCTTGCAAGGCTGAAGAATTGACCGTCACTATTCAGCCTGGTCTACACCATACAGCTATTTGGAGTGACATTTTCTGGCCAGTGAATCCCTTTTTTGGTCTTTTTCATTTTTTTCTTTTTTTCTTTTTTTCCCCGCACACACATCACACCACATACTCCGGCATGCACTGGCTGTTGGTAACCACCCAGGAGAATGAAAGAAAAGTCAGGAAGAGTCTGAGAAAGAGAAGAAAGACGTGTGTGACCATAATCGTCGGGAATCGAACCCGCAATCTATCGATTGGAAATCGCTGCACATACCACTGCACCATATGGGACACACCTGCACACACACACACATACACACACACATACACACACACATACACACACACACACACATATGCACGCACACACACACACACATGTGCACGCACACACACACACACACGTGCATGCACACACACCCACACACACACATGCGCACGCACGCACACACGAGTGTGCGCGTGCACACACACAGTCTTACCTGAATAGACAGCCGGTGATCGGATGAGTAGGCAGCAAATTTTCGAGTACCGTAAGTTGTAGCGGTTCGATGACACCATGGTCACTGTTGTCGCACAATAAATCTATAGATTGTTCTGTGTTCAACAAGCCTTCAACATTCACGTCACCACACACTGCCAGTGGTTCGTACTTCGGCAGAGCAGCAAGCCACTTTTTGCTCAGCATTAGTGCCGTTTTCCACGCTCTATTGTAACTTTTGGGTTTTTTTTGGCCCTGGCTCTGTTCCTTTGTCATCACTGCGGCGAACTCGAATCCCAGGACATGATAGGCCTCCAGGATCTTGTTCCGATTTCCCACAGCTGCGCACAGTGCCTTGGAGAGTATGTTGAGCACCTTCTCCTGACGATACACAGCTGCTGTCATGAACACGTCAAGTCCTTCACGATCCCCTTCAAGAATAGCTCTCTTCTCCAGTAGTAGTTCAACTATACTTGTATGACCAAGAGCAATGGCGGCAAGAAGGGGCGTGACACCGTCCTCGTCCGCTGCGTTAATGTCTGCACCGGCTCTCATCAACATTTTCAGAGTCTCCAGCTCGCCGCTAAGTGCAGCGCCTCGCAGCGGAGTTGAGTTGGTCGCTGTGCGTGCGTCCACTTGGACATGGCGTGCCAGCAACGCTGCTGTCATTTCCTTGTAGCCACCTGCCGCCGCTACCCACAGCGGCGTGGCGTTTTTCACTGGACTACCGTCGATGTATGCAGGGATTTGGCCGCGCTGCTGAATATCGATACCTCTAGTAGCCATCAGCCAGTCGAAAACTGCCGTGTTCCCGAAACGAATACTCCGGAGCAGAACCGTCGAATTGGCAAATGTCTGTGACACCACCCAACTGGTGTCAACGCTGCACTTGCGGCCGGCAACTACTGCCTTCTTGAAGTCAGACATCTTCTCAAGGAATACGTCCAGGGTTTCGACCATAGCCGCAAAATGGAACTTCTTCAGGCACTCCTGTATGTCCTCGTCTTTTGAGCTCGACGCCATGTCAAATGTGGACAAAAGTACGCCGCTGCTACTTGTTCTCTTCTCCGCTCAGCTGATACACGGTTAGCGGTCGTGAGCGCAGCGCAGGGTGAGGTTTCCGGCTCTGTTGAAGGTTGTTTAGCCTGTGACACAGTTCGTATTGTTACGAAAGCCTCAAGGACTAGGTCGCCCACTGGTGTTATCCAGACTGTACTCTCCTCCGACGGCCTCCTCCTACCTATGCGCCCACGCAGCTAGGTCGACGACCTTGAGTTGAGAAGACTGAGGCGAAGAGGAGTAGTGAGCCTTGACTTGAGTCTCAAGCCAGCTCAGTTTTGATCTACGCCCAGGCTACGGGGAAGGTGACATGGCGCGCCCTGCAGATCTAGTACATGCATACAAGGTTCGCACCTCAGTAACCACGGTGACCTGGGCGGTGACAGACAGCACACGTCACATGATGTACTGTCTGTACTACCGTACTGGCAATATTATTAGTAGTATCAAGGGTTATGTACTCTTGGTAGTATGTTGCCGCGTAATGGCTTTCACCATTTCCGGACCCTCCACAAAGTGCAGCTTGTACATGTATACAGAAAGCAGAGCCCTGCTACGGTACGGCGAATGTCGAGGCTCGGGAGGTATGATCCATCTCGGCGCTGGATGGCAGTGAGGCGGGCCAAGGTGGTGGGGGCTGCGCTCATCCACACCAGCATGCCATACTCTAACACAGGGCGGACAAAGCCACGGTACACGATTGCCGAGTGCTTTGCGTCTAGCACAGCCGATGCCTTACGGAGGGTGTGCGCGTGAGTCGAGATTGTGTGCGTCCGTCTCGTAATAACAAGTCTTAAAAAGTATACAATCATTTGGTTTCTAGTACTGACTGTTGTCGTACTTATTCTGATTCCTGTTTTTCTGTTTTGTGCCGTGCTCGTCATGGTTATCTTTTGCAGTTACAAGTTTTGGAAGCTGTTTGTCAGCGCATTCATAAGCCGAATTTGTGTGTCCAGAAAGATAGTGTTATTACCCTAAAATTGTTAATAATGTTCTTTTGTGTAGTGTGGCAACATTGTTGCCACTTGTGCCTAAATGTGTTTTTGTCACCTTCTTGTTTTTTATTGTTATTATTATCATTCGTTAGGACATTTGAGGCCACATGCCACGTACTGCTCTTTTCTCTCCGAAACTCAACACTTGCAAGCCAGATATGAAAGAAAGAAGTATGATGCAAGCCAGATGTTGATTGATCGAAGAAGGATAGATTTACCATCACTGTGGATAAGAGTCATACTGTAGCTCAGTTGGTTAGAGCATTGCTCGCGAATAGCAAGGTCCCTGGTTCGAGTCCCGGTGGTGTGACTGATGATTTTTTCTTTCTTTCATATCTGGCTTGCAAGTGTTGAGTTTCGGAGAGAAAAGAGCAGTACGTGGCATGTGGCCTCAAATGTCCTAACACTTTGAAAATTCTCCGTGAAGTCCAAATTTGAAATTGCAATTATCATTCGTTCTCACTTTTTTGTTTTTGTTGCTGATACACACTTGTCACGCTTAGTTTTTACTTGTACAGGTCTAATCTCCATATAACGTAATCTCTGGGACCACGCAAACATTATGTTATATCGAGAGTTATGTTAATTCACATTCACACACCTTGCTCATAACACCCTGCCCACACCAGCCATATCCATTTACATTGCGCTATTATCACACTGCTAGCTAGCTCTACAGCCTCCTGCCTACAACATCCACACGCATTGTTCACCACCTCCTGCCCACACCAGCCACACACTCCGCGCTAACACTGCACTGCTAGCCCCTGCCTTCAACAACCACACACTCTGCACACAGCCCCTGCCTAAAACACCACCGCTACTGCGCTAGCCCCCACAGTCTCACACAGCTTTTTATACCACCCTCTCCTGGCATATTACACCGGCATGGTCGGCACCCGATCTTCATGTTGCCTGATGATTGCGTGAGCATGAAACTTAAAGTAGCAGCAAACAAGCCTTGATTGTCCTTGTTGTTCTGTTGTGTATTACGCTCTGCCTTTGTGGTGTTGAGCACTGTCAGCACTCTGGGTACATCCTTCGGAGAGTTATGTTATGTAGAAAACCGTGTGTAAATTGTAAAATACAAGATGCACCTCAAAATGAAGGGTATTACAAGGCGGGTTCAACCGTGCAAACATATACACACTTTACCACCATCGACATCAGATACCATCAATGCCGCAGAATATGCACATAGGACTAAACTGGCTAGCTACGGCTACAGCTTGATTGTGCCGCGCACGTGAATCTACGTTGTATCGAGAGTGTGCACGTCGGGGACTGCGCCGTAGCCTAGGCTAGGGTGCGTTATGCCGAGGTTTACGTGATGTAGGCCTATATATAGATAGGACTGTAAACTGGCCCAAACTGCCTAGCTACAGCTACCGCTTGATCATACCGTGCACGTGAATTTATGTTGTATCGAGAGTATACTGATTCGAGAGTGCGCACGTCGGGGACCGCCGTAGCGTGTGTTATGTCGAGGTTTATGTTATGTAGGATTATGTTGTGTAGAACAACATTTGTATGGGAGTGATGCTGTTTCGGCGCGGGATTTGACTTTTTTTGTACTAACGAGGTTTATGTACAAGTGAGAGTTGTTATATCGAGAGCAGACCTGTATACCCTTGTTTTCTGCACACTTTTGTGAGAAATCGCACCTCGATATTCCAGTGCTGTCATTGTATCGTGTTACCCTACCTTGATTGCTATAATAATTATTATCACTCCCTTAGTATTGACTCACATAGATTTTGCCATACCTAAGCAGTCAAATATTCCTGCATATTTCACTGCTTAGGGCTATATTGACCGCTTATATTTGACTCCTTTTTAGCGATTGAACACAGGCTTTGGCTAGTCGTGATAAATCTAATATTGACTTCGTACTTGGTCAGATAGGAAATAAAAGACCTCGTAAAAGACCTCGGCTTCGCCTCGGTCTTTTACTCGGCTTTTATTTCCAATATTGACCTCGTACTCAGTCAATATTAGATACTTAGGCCAAACTAAAGAAGGTGTGTGGTTCGACTCACCCGACCGACCGTACAATTTCAGCCCGACCGTAACTTTTTTTCGGCGGGCTGTCGTGTGACTGACGTACGTGGACTGAACACGTCCACGTCTACGTGCTGTGCGGCGTGAGTCTGCGGACGCTAGGCGGCTCCTTTTGGACTTGACTTGTAGTTGTACTGCAGTGCAGTGCAGTGAGTGGTACGACTGCTAGCTGCCTTGTGCTGGTAGTACTAGTAGAGTCTACTCGATACGCGTACGGTATACAGTGTATTTACATGTACTAAAAAATATATTAAAAAAAAAAAAATCCGCCCGCCCGCCCGTAAAAAAAATGTCCATGTTAGTCGAACCACACACCTTCTTTAGTTTGGCCTTAGTATTATTATTATTATTCGAACAAGTTTTCGTACAACACTCTTCAGGAATCACCGTTGTACTAAAGAACAAAATGAGAACAAAGGAAATAATAATAATTATAGCAATCAAGGTAGGGTGACACGATACAATGACAGCACTGGAATATCGAGGTGCGATTTCTCACAAACGTGTGCAGAAAACAAGGGTATACAAGTAAGAACTAAGGGCGCAAGTGTGTATCAGCAACAAAAACAAAAAAGTGAGAACGAATGATAATAATAACAATAATAAACAAGAAGGTGACAAAACACATTTAGGCACAAGTGGCAACGTTGCCACACTACACAAAAGAACATTATTTGAACAATTATTTTAGGGTAATAACACTATCTTTCTGGACACACAAATTCGGCTTCTGAATGTGCTAGTCGGTATGTTGGTAGGACTGTTCAGCACCTGAACGCACGTATCAAACAACACACTCCACTTCACATCCTTCCACCCAGTGCGCAATCTGAGAGGCCCAAACGCGGGAGGCCTAGGAAAAACCCATCACCTACACGGCAGGATAGTTCCCCGCCGCTGTCTGCCGTTCCCCCTCTGACATCTGTGTTGGACGGGCTTGAGCTTGGCAGCTCTTTGGAGGTGCGTGCGGAACCGCCATTGGTGCAGCCCTCGGGTGTGCCTAAGTCTGTGCCTCTGGGTGCTTTGCATGGGGCTGTGCCTCGAGTGGTGACAGCACCTCTGCCTCCCCCCTGACCCTCCTCCTTCGAGGTCTGTGTTGGTGGGGAGCACCCGTGGCGGTCGATTTGTCCCACCGGAACCAGAGCTGAATTCAACAGAAAGACCAACAACCATGGCTGCAACAACAACACCAGCTTCACATCCAACAACAACACCAGCTTCACATCCAACAACAACACCAGCTTCACATCCAACAACAACACCAGCTTCACATCCAACAACAACACCAGCTTCACATCCAACAACAACACCAGCTTCACATCCAACAACAACACCAGCTTCACATCCAACAACAACAACAACAAATCCACAAAACAAAGCAGCAAATGACAGACCACGCAGATCTACAGCAGATTACAACCGGACCTATGAATTCACGGTAAAAATACAAAGGAAACAATCGGAAAGGACGACGACTGACATGAAGGCAACGGCATTCACGGTTGGCGTGGGTGGTGAAGGTGAGACGCAGGACGATGCAAGTGAGGAGGAGAGTCAAACCGCTGTGGATGACGGAGCAGGTTCTGATTCGGACAGTGAGGGAGAAGGTGAGCTGAGTGAGGGTGAGAGTGAGTGTGAGGGTGTGCGCGTGAGTCGAGATTGTGTGCGTCCGTCTCGTAATAACAAGTCTTAAAAAGTATACAATCATTTGGTTTCTAGTACTGACTGTTGTCGTACTTATTCTGATTCCTGTTTTTCTGTTTTGTGCCGTGCTCGTCATGGTTATCTTTTGCAGTTACAAGTTTTGGAAGCTGTTTGTCAGCGCATTCATAAGCCGAATTTGTGTGTCCAGAAAGATAGTGTTATTACCCTAAAATTCGTGTTCGAATCATGCTCTTTTGTGTAGTGTGGCAACGTTGCCACTTGTGCCTAAGGGGTCGTCCGTAAATATCGAACTTTTTTCACAAAACGAAATAGTTTCGTTATGGGGTGGGAGGGGGTTGACCAATTTCGTTTCAGAAAACATTGATTCATGTACATGGCCGTTGTATATACATGTATATCAACATTTTTTACGTTCTGAGGGGGAGGGAGGGAGGGGTTGGGTACCGGTGTAAACTAAAATAATTCGTTTGGTGAAAAAAGTTCGATATTTACGGACGGCCCCTAAATGTGTTTT